AAAAAAAAAAAAAAAAAAAAAAAAAAAAAAAAAAAAAAAAAAAAAAAAAAAAATGAATAAAAGAAAGGAAAAAAAAAGAATGAATAATCACAGTTCGATCAAATTATACATCAATACATTGAATACTTTCATGACTGTGGATAATTTCGGTGTATCTGTAATATTATAAATGTATATAAGAAAAAACAAAGTTTATCCGATTGATCCCTTTCTGGGATTATTAGACATTAATTTGTACATAATATACATAACATAAATAAATATAGATATACGTATTAACTTCTCATTTCATTTCCTATACCCATCAATACATTGAATACTTTCATGACTGTGGATAATTTCGGTGTATCTGTAATATTATAAATGTATATAAGAAAAAACAAAGTTTATCCGATTGATCCCTTTCTGGGATTATTAGACATTAATTTGTACATAATATACATAACATAAATAAATATAGATATACGTATTAACTTCTCATTTCATTTCCTATACCCATCAGAGTTGATTTCTTTCGAAATTAATTTCAATGGACGTATATACTTTTATATATTAATTTAAAAATTGAAGTACAAACTACGATTGAGTAAGTAAGTAAATGCAATTTATAACACAAAGAAATTAAAAAAAAAAATTCTCATCTCAAACGGAATAACGGAAATTTCTACCTTACCAGCCTGACAGTGTGACCTATGACGTGAATGACAGAATGACGTGATAGTGAATGTATGCATGGATATATTATATGCATGTGATCAGCGGGTTGATTGTGATTGTTACAGTAATGCACACGTGCTATCACAGTTGTTTCGTTATGGTTATTAGTTAATTAGGGTCAAACTTCACAAAAGTATAACAAATTTGTTCGGAAATATCAATCAATTTTATACCAAAGATAAAAATATGAGTGAAAAAAAACCTAAAATAGTGGTATTCGACTTAGGTTTGAAATTTTAAGTTAATTTATTCTTTACATTCATTAAATGAATTAATTTTACATAAAATATCATTTGTGTTTTTATTAGATTACACACTTTGGCCATTTTGGGTAGACACACATGTGACACCACCATTTAAGAAAGAGTTTGTGTTTTTTATGTCATCAGATTAACTTGTTGTTAATGCCAAAATAAAAAATGGCATATTATTGAAATTTCGTATTACAGTTCGAACAAAAAAATTGTCGACGCGCATAACCACGTAATACGGTATTATCCCGATACACCCGAAATTCTCAAGCAATTAGTTGAACAAGGATTTGAAGTTGGAGTGGCTTCAAGAACTTCAGAAATTAAAGGAGCTAATCAATTGTTGAATTTGTTTGGATGGGAAAAGTATATTAAGTATAAGGAAATTTATCCAGGAACTAAAACGACACACTTCTCAAGGTAAAAAAAATGTACACCTATTATTGTGTTGTATCATAATTATGTTAAAAGTACTTGTGTTGCTTTCTTTTTAGAATCAAGAATGAATCTGGCGTTGAATACAAGGACATGATATTCTTTGATGATGAACAAAGAAATATCAGTGACTTAGTTAAAATAGGAGTACTTTCAATATTGGTAAGAGATGGAGTTTCTCATAAGGTTGTTCAGGATGGCCTTACAGAGTTTGCAAGCAGGAAAGGATAATTTATGATTTAAGTAAAATTGTAATTTGAGCGTAATAGAGAAAAAATATTCTATTTACATAAATATATATGTATATATGTGTGTATATATATATATATATGTATCAAATATATAAATAGGCAACAAAATAAATCATCAAACAAAATTAATTGGGACGCATGTATAAATTAAATAAATCTTAAGTTAACTAAGTTCTAACATTTTTTTATAATACTGAACTGGTCTTTTAATTGTTATGTCTTGAAGGTGGGTCATACTTTTGAATCTAAAAAAATTTGCACATGTCTCTTGAGGTTCTTGTTTCAATCCAGTTGCCATAAATTCATTCAAATCACTCTCGGTCATAGAATTCGACAGTAAAGACTTCAATGAATCTGTATCAAAATTTTTGAAAGGACAACCTCCTTCATAATTTGTACTAGGTACTTCTTCCTGTAAAGATTTTCGTAAATAAAAATTTATTTCCAATTTGTACATATAAAGGTAAAACTTACACAGAAAAAGCTGCAACTTGGGGTACTGTAGTTTTTTTTCACTCCTTCTAAGCCATACATGTGTCTAATACTGTAGATAAATTTCTTGGCATCTTTGTGCCAATTATGGATACAAACAGAATCACATTTGTGTGGTTTAGAATATTCATTTTTCCAGTATGCTATTGCTTCCTCCAAGCTCATTCCGCACTCCTTAAGAAAAAGGGTGTAATATAATCGAGCATAATGACTCAACCGATGTTTGCGTCTAAGCAATAAATGTAGATGCTCCATACAGGGAGGAAATTTTTGCACTTCGCGATCAATATTAGATGCGGTAATGTTTCCAAAGTTGTAATCTTTAGGAAACAGAGAATATTGCAACTTGTTCCAGATGTCGTTCATACGAGGGTCTGTTGAAAAGTTATTGACTAGAAAACTTTGATTTTTAACTTCAAACAAAATAAAAGTCTGAAATAAAGAACACAATAATTCCTTCCATTGAGAACAGTGAACTACAGCAGAGCCTTTGTGTAACTCTACAGCCTTTTCTTCTACCAAATCAAGCAACAGCTCAAAATCAACTGAAGTAAATAGTTAATAAACAAACAAATATAATAGTAATTATATATTTTTTTAAATAATAAGTTTTTGCTTACTTTTATCATGATATTCAGTGCAGTCTTCTGCATGAGACTTAGATACAATGTGTTTAAAAATATCCGGTATCATGAAGAAAGAACAAAGTCTTAATAATACTCTGTCTACAGGGTTGTCAACATTTTCTCTTCGCTTTAAATGCTTAACAACTGTTTTAAAAAATCTGTACAGTTGTCTTGAATTCACAACAGATAATCTTGTTCTTAACAAAAGAGTTTCCTTGCGCAACCAGGATGAAAAAAATCCATCAGATCTTAATGTTAGTAGTCTAAAAATAAAAAATCACATTGTTTGATAATTTATGGTTTTAATGTTTTATACTTATGTACCCACCTTAAAGTAAAGTGTCCAATGCAGTCATATGGCGATCCTTCAAACAAGTATTCAAATTTTCCATTGAATGTCACTTTTTTATCGCTACCCAAAATGTTATTTAAATACTCTAAACGTGAAAAAACGATTTCTTCTAAAGTGTGCAATGTAACCAACCCTTTCGGTGGTTGAACGTAAAACATAATTACATTCAATCTTCAGTTTTTTTTAATCAATCATATACCTGTAAGTAACATTTAATTGACAGTGCAAGAATTTTAACACGTCATGATAAACGATGCATTATTTAATTTATGTTTTTTTTGTGTTTTTCATGACAGCTCGTTATAAAATTAAAAACCAAACTGTATACCTAAATGTTCATGCTTTCGTTATTTATTGCAATACAATAGTGCAATGTCAAGTGGTGACGGCGACTCCGTATTTATGTTTATACTGCGGTACAGATCAGATGAGAGATGAGAGAGAAAGAGAGAGAGAGGGACACCAGAGATGATCTGGTGACACTTAGTTATTGGGATTCCAAAAGGTCACGTGACTCTCGCGGCATATATAGTCACTTGGGGGAAAAATAACACAGCCCTTGTACGTGCAATTATATTTTTATTTCTTTTACCCGTTCAACGATTGTAATACGATAAAAGCCTTTCCATAACATATTTTTGAGGAGATGACAATACCTTAGCTATTTTTTTCCAACTCAATTAGTCTTTTGCAGCTTAAAACTTTCTTTTGAAAGGGCGAAAACGCACAACGAATCCCAATACACAAGAGTAGACTAGTAGAGTAGAGAGAAGAGCAGAGGGCGTGATAAGCTTCTAAGTTGATTGAGTTGCTGAATAACTTGCAGCTGCGTTGTGAGCTCTGTTCTGTTCTAATCATCTGAAATCTGAATTCTGAAATTTCTGAATAAGAACGATTATACTACATATATATAGGAAAAAAGAGCGAGAGGAGAGACTGCTACTCCTCCTCTCGCGACCAAGTAGACAAGTGTATCTATCTCAAATCTCAACTTACTTTGACAGTTGTAGCGTTTCGTAATTATCATTATTATTCTTGTGATTCGTGATCAACAAATTAACGAAATCATGATTGCATCAACTACGACAGCAAGTTGAATTTTTTTGAAGGTAAGGTTACCATTTTCCAATAGTGAAAAAAAACTTCTACTCTGGCATGCAGCGACAGCAACACAAGTTACATTATTATTATTAATTGTCTTAAAACGAACACCTGTAATATATAGTTTAGTTGTTTATTTTCAACAATCGATGCAAATACCATTGCAAATTATTAGGTAAAAGCTATAGTGCCTCGTGTGAAAAATTTTTAAGAAAATACATTACTTAGGTTATAGAGACACGAAGGGACAAGCAGAGTGTGACACATTTGTTTTTTTTAAAGCTGTTGTACCCTATCTAAGAATAGTTGACAGTAATTTTGTTGAGCACCATGGCATCAGGTCCCATTTTGCAGGTAAATAAACCATTACTTGACATTTCTTTGATTTTCGAATCAGTTGGTATTCTATTTACGGTACATTCTTCACATCTTATAGAAAGCCATTGACATGGTGACAAAGGCCACCGAAGAGGACAGGAATAAAAATTACGAAGAAGCCCTAAGACTTTACGAACATTCAGTTGAATACTTTCTTCATGCCATCAAATGTAAGTTTCTTGAATTATTTGACTGAAATCCACACTGATAATGAGAATATTATTGAAATGATTCAAGTCAGATTTAGTTCTCATTTAGTTTTTATTTTACAACTCTACTTCTGCAAATTTGTTTATCATAATAAAATTGTATTATTTTTCAGATGAAGCGCAAGGTGATAGAGCTAAAGAAAGCATACGAAGTAAATGTTGTCAGTATCTTGATAGAGCAGAAAAGTTGAAAACATACTTGAAGAAAGGTAAAAAGAAACCAGTAAAGGCTGGAGAAGAGAATTCAAAAAGTGAAGATAAAAAAAGTGACAGTGGAGACAGTGATACAGATAGTGACCCAGAGAAAAAGAAACTGCAAAGCAAACTTGAGGGAGCAATTATTATTGAAAAGCCAGATATCAAGTGGGATGATGTTGCAGGCTTAGACGGAGCCAAGGAAGCTTTGAAAGAAGCAGTTATACTTCCCCTTCGTTTTCCTCATTTGTTCACAGGTAAAAGGATCCCATGGAAAGGAATTTTATTGTTTGGTGTAAGTTTCCCTTACTGAAGATGTATTAAACATTTTTCATCATACCATTATTTAACTATCATTCTCTATTACAGCCTCCTGGAACAGGTAAATCGTATTTAGCAAAAGCTTTAGCTACTGAAGCAAACAATTCAACATTTTTTTCTGTGTCGTCCTCTGATTTGGTGAGTAAATGGCTGGGAGAATCAGAAAAATTAGTCAAGAATTTATTTGAATTGGCAAGACAACACAAACCTAGCATTATATTTATTGATGAAGTGGACTCTCTTTGCTCTTCGAGATCGGATAACGAGTCTGAATCTGCTAGAAGGATAAAAACTGAATTTCTTGTTCAAATGCAAGGTGTGATACAGTCTTATTTATGTAATTTACAGTTTCTAAGAGGTTGATCTCATGAAGTAATTCTCATCTATTGTGTACAGGTGTCGGAACGGATAATGATGGTATCCTTGTTTTGGGAGCAACAAATATTCCTTGGGTCTTAGATTCTGCGATCAGAAGACGATTTGAGAAACGAATTTATATTCCTTTGCCGGAAGCACCAGCAAGAACAATTATGTTCAAGCTTCATTTAGGAAGCACGTCTCATACTTTGTCAGAAGAGGACTTTAAGAAATTGGCGTCAGCTACCGATGGTTATTCAGGAGCAGACATTAGTATCATTGTAAGAGATGCTCTTATGCAGCCGGTAAGGCAAGTTCAAACAGCCACACACTTCAAGAGAGTTAGCGGGCCATCGCCCAAAGATCATTCAGTTATTGTTGATGATCTCCTTACACCATGTTCACCTGGTAACCCAGCAGCAGTTGAAATGAATTGGATGGATGTGCCAGGAGACAAGCTGTTTGAACCACCAGTTACTATGGTAAGTTGGTTTATATTCTCCTTTTTCTTAAAATCAACGGGTTTAATTAAGTTTGCTTACTAAGATCAGCATGCACAACGCACGATTAAAACATGATCTCTATACTAATAGATTACTGAGAATCGTTTTTTAACTATCTAGTCTGCATGGATTATTCACTTGCACTGCATTTCATTAAGAATTGCATTTTGTCGATTCTATTTTCTTAAACCTTCATTTAGTATTTTATCATATTCCATTAACTAATAACGAATCAATCGATACTCTATTGTCAAATTTATCATTGCAGAAAGATATGTTGAAATCTTTAAGTACCACCCGTCCAACTGTTAACGAAGAGGATATGAGTAAGCTTGAAAAATTCAAAGAAGATTTCGGTCAAGAAGGTTGATTTCTATACACAAGAGTGAACATGATGAAAAAAATCTAAGTAATTGAATTTGAACGCGCTTGCCTTACTCCTGTTTTTTAAACATTTAGTGAGACAAACACGAGATTGTTTGAAAACATTTGCTTTTATTTTTAAATAACATCTCAATTAAGGTACTAGAATGACAAACTTGCGTGTAATAAGCTTTCAGCTCGCCACAAATGGCAACATCAGCAGAAATGATCTATATTTTGAGATAAAATGTCTAAAAACTATTAAATATTTTATTTTTATCTTTAATCTCGTAACGTATTACATCAATGAGTTGGTTCTGACATTTTCATTATCATTAAATGATGAAAACATTGAGTTTTTGTTTCAATAAAACAAGTTTATTTTTATTACTTTTTGTTTAATGCATAAAAAATGAAGGAAAATTGTATCTTGAGAAAGCTTTTTTTTACAATCAATTTTTTCTCTTAGATTATATTTACAAAACACTTTTTAAGACCACCTTTAAGTAGTTAGATTTAATATAATGTACATGTAATGTGTTGATATTAATCAGAGGACTTTTCTCTTATGTAAATTATTTTTATTGTTAATTAAATAAATAACAAATTCCATACCGTAAACAATTGAAACGGCTTTCAGAAACATTTCAAATAATATTTCTATTCAAGTACAGTAAAAAAGTAGCGACTATTACGGAGGACAATGCCTCAAAAATTCAGAGTCCAAATATACTACAGTTACTGTAATATCATCCCTGAACAATCGTACTACCTCACCTGGTAACGTCAACATTTTCGATATTTTTACGTGATCTATTCCATACTCGGTTCCTCCCAACGCATTTCTTATCAAATGGGTAGCTGCATTACTGTCCAGTGGTTTTTTTTTCAATCCCTCCTTTCTTTGTAAAAGCATTTCGTTGATTTCTGCAAGTGTAATATTTTTTCGAGGTAATCGTAAGGGACTTAGAGTTACTTTTCCACTCATATGTTCGCCTACAAGGCGTACAGCTTCCAATGGAGAAATTAAATCCCAAAGACCGTCAGACGCTAAGAATATTACATGTTTATTAATTTTTTTTTGTGTATCACCAAAGTTCATGAAGTTACAAATTATCGATATTTACCTATTATTAAAAATTTATCTTTAGGAGTCAGTCTGTGATATTTAACTTCTGGTATGGCAGTCAGGTACGGCGGAGTATAATAATTTGGAGGGATCGCGCTATGGCCGTACAGTGGTACTACTTTCTTTTGTAATAATTCAAGACTCCACTTGTATCGAAAATCACCCATAGATCGTAACGGCGCTAATTGACCTAATAATCGTTCCATCTTAATTGCCGTTGATTTTTCACTTTCCGGATGCTCAGAAAGAATTCTCTCGACTTCGGCGCGATTATCACTATTGTGCTCCACTGTCATCATTTTAGCAGACCATGCATCATTTTCTACATAGTGTAACGTGAACAAAAGTTTAAAAAAAACATTCTACCAGTTTAGATTGATTAAATATGATTCATTACCTGAAAGTACTCCAAGAACAGCTTGACAATCTCCTACATTAGCAACATGTAAATGAGGTCCATCAATATGTGCAACAACAGTAACTGCCCCTGACATTGCCACCGACAGAGTTCTGGCAACATTTTTTCCCTTTGCACTTAAAGCTTCTGAAGAAATATCATTATCTAATCTAAGAAAAGCGTTTTCCAAGGTAGTTTCCATTTGGAATTCTCTTCCAGCATTGCTTTCTTCCAAATGTTTGAGAAAATCAATAAAACTTATTTGATAAATTTGATTGATTTCATCAATGAGTTTTGCTTTGTCATTAAATGTCTCAAGTAATTGAGGGTTCTTTCCAGAGATCCATGACTCTAAAAATTTCTTTAGTATATTTGTAGGAAGTAAACATGCTGCAACGTAATTCAAAAGACGTTTTGATATTACTTGGGCACAAGCACTACCTCCATGGCCGTCGAAAACTCCAAATAAGAATCCTAAAATATAATGAAAATTAAGTCCAAGTAGAAGAAAAAAATGCATATTAATAAATAAACTATTGGTGAACAACCATTCGTCAGTAGACATCGTGCTTCTGATCTGGTATCCTCCATTGGATTGTTGGAAGCTAACTGATTAGAATCATAGCTTTTTACAGAGCTTGGACCAGCAAATTCTTTGGTAAACTCATTGGCTTGTAGTATGTCAGTCACCTGCAAATCTCGATAGAATTGACGTATCATGCGAGCAATACCTAATTAAGTAAAGAAGCACATGGCCATGCTAAAGTATGAATAATGAAAGTATCATGAACAGCTGCATGTGTCAAAAATGTGTACGAACCTCCTGGGGCGTGAGTCGGGGGACAGTAGCGTAGGGACGTGTTTCGTCGGCACCGTTGAACCAGGCATGCTTGACCTTGAACGGGGATAAATTCTTGGCTAGGTTCTTGAGAACTGATAGGCGCAAGATCATCCTATTTTCGGACGATCGAGTCGCTGCGGTATCAACAGTAGCACCTTTGACGTCGAGCTCGGAAATCTCTGCATTTGCAGGACTTTTATCGCGATTTAGAACCAGCAGCAATGGCAGCAGCATAAAAAATAGTGTAAGACAAGAGCGTGTCCACGAGGTTCGGCCAGGTTATTGCTTTATTGGTGTGGTTGTCGGCAGTCGGCTTTTGCGCGACAGACAAATACACCAAACACCACCGCTACCACAGGTTACTTCAGAGAAACAAACAGCACCCCTCCACTCGCTGCTCAATCCGCAATGTGACGGTTGAGGGCTTTGGTCGGATGATGCATTTTCTCTGCCGTCCCTCACATCACCACCAATCCAATCACCACCCTCACCACGTCTCTTATTACCCTCTTCTCGCATCTTACCACTATTTTAAGATGCATACTTATAACTATAACTCTGCAAGGGGCAGAGAGCGGGGAATTGTTTGTTTTTTGTGTTGTGCTAACATCTATTCGGTGCGCTTAATATAAATTACACGCGCAATTTAATTTATAAACAATGCCAGCTGCAAACACTGAAGTCAATTATATTATTATTGTTATTATTATTATTATTATTATCATGCAGGTAGTGAGCTTCCATTGTGAATTCTAAGTATTTTTCACCGTAATTTAATATTGGGGTCAGTTTATTTTTGAAACGAAAACATCATTAAACTATATTTATGTATATATATATAATATTAACATTGTTTAATGCTGTCTTGCAAATTGTACATACTTATGCGTCTCTGAAAGGAAATTGGTTAGGTGATTGTATAATTTTAAGTTGTGCACCTTAAAATGAAATAGATTGTTACTTTCTTTAATTACTTAATTCACATGCTTGACATATGATTACATTAAATTTAAAATAATCATACATCCTTTCACTCAAAAATTGCGACACAAAAAATGAAGTAATTTTTAGAGTCACTACACTGGTGCATAGTGCGTGTATCTACTCCGGTTCTCCAAGGCTATCACCGGAGTACCGGACCTTTGTGATCGCCGCGCATCCATGGCAAACGCTACTTATTTTTTCTATATTATATAGGTACCGAGAGGGCAACAAACGTCAAAAGGTCACGCAAAACGCAATTTTTTTCCAGTATGTCGTTTCAGCATTTTTTTCTTTTATTTGAACTTTCCCGCGCATTGCAACCAGCTAATGCGCATGATCGTTGTCGCCATCGTGATTTTTACCAATTTTCTATTTTCCATCTCAATTGTGTCAACGCGTTCGTATATTATAATTATGCGCAAATAGCAGTCTAACATTGCAGATATACTAACCCAATTATTTGGCGTGAAATTTTGATAAGTACTTGTAAAATACACATTTTTTATAAACACCAATGGCAATAAAAAAAAAAAAAAGAAGATCGACGCAAGCGCCCCTTGCGTTCGTTTCTTCAAACAATGCGTTTGAATTTCATGTTTTGAAAAGACGGTACCGTCACCGTGGCGGGGCAGCGGTGCACACGCGTGTATCAACGGTCAACCGACTCTTCCTACTCATTTTCCGATCCTAGCGGCTGCACGCTCGACCTGTGCGTGTTGCAAGTGCTATTGTTATACCTGCTTAGCTCTCCATACATGAATGCGTGACGCATCAATCCCTTTTACCTATACTCCGAAAGTGTTTTCAAAAAACGGGAGGAAAACTGCAGTCGTTTCTCAGACGAAGCTTCCGTCGTCGTCGTCGCGCGGGAGCTGGTCACGTCGCTATTCCCCGACGATCCCGAGGAAGGTACTGACGACGCCGGTGAGTTTATTTTCTTTTTTTTCACCGTTACTAATGGCTTGTTTTACCTTACATCCTCTCGCATGTGCTGTCACTTCATGTGTATCTTGTATACCTGTAGCCTAGTAAGTACTGCCTGCAATGTGACCCTTTTCCCGTCATGGATGCATTCTAATCCTAGTGGAGGCGCACTTTCGTTGCACGGGGCCCGGGGCCCAAGAGACCCGAGAGATAAAAAAAATGCCTTTTCAAGTAATTAACCCTTTTGCTCCTTTCTAGTATACACCATGGTGTGTTCAAGTATTATATGGTGGAGACTGTATTTGTAGTCCGTTGGCCCATCGCAATTCGTTAAATTGGTCAGTACAGTACCTGATGAAATACAGTCGAGTCATGGTACTGTAATTATTGGCTTTAGGCACTATTTATTGTGCCATATAACGTGTTTCAACACGTTGGCGTTGGCTGCTTGTAAAGTTTTGTCTTTTTTTTTTCTCTACAACATAATACCACCTCGTAGACATACTAATTTTCACCTATCATCTTATTTTTTATTTAAAAAATATATAAATGTAATTGCAACGTTTTGTAACAAGATTTGGGCAATAACAAAAACCTTAATATCTCAACTGTAACAGCAGGAAGATTTGAATCATTACAACAATGTCCATATTTTTATTACATTTTTAATAATTAATAACCACGTAGCACCCATGACATTTTAAAAATAATACCTAAAAGATTGAATATTGAAAAAAATTAATTATGGTTCAATTATCATCCAAACGATGTCTTTCTATCTATCACCATTACCTATGTACCACACTATTTAAAAAAAAACCATTTATATTACTATATTGATTATTTTATTTTCAAGGCTAGCCTGATGACACAGTGACCAAGATTTAATCACAGGAAAAATGGTGTTCAACAGAAAAGATTTGAACAAGGCATTTTCGCCAAACAAAGTCAAAACATTCAGCAGGCGGCGGTCCACTGGAAAAACTGGATTAAAACCAAGCGCCAGTGTGAGCACAGCTATGATGGGCAAAGATTCTGCACAAACGAGTATTAAAGTAATAGTGAGAGTGAGACCCCACAATGAAAAGGAGCAACAAGATAATTTCAAAACTGTTGTAAAAATTATTGATGAGAGAATGCTCATATTTGATCCAAAGGAAGAAGAAAATCCTTTCTTTTATAGAGGAGTTGCACAGAAAGGTCGGGATTTATTGAAGAAACAAAATAAAGAGTTGCAGTTTGTTTTTGATAAGGTTTTCGACATGTCCAGCTCAAATACTGATGTTTATGAAGGTAGTACAAAACCTTTGATTATCAACTTACTGGATGGTTACAACTGCTCTGTGTTTGCCTATGGTGCCACAGGAGCAGGTAAAACTCATACAATGCTTGGTAAGGAAGGTGATCCAGGAATTACTTACCGCACCATGGCTGAACTGTTTGCACAAATTGAATTGCAAAAAGATTCCAAAGACTTTAATTTTGGAGTTTCGTACTTGGAAATTTATAATGAAAATGTCCAGGATCTTATTCACAAGGTTGGACCGTTGCACTTGAGAGAAGACAGTAGAGCTGGTGTTGTTGTTGCCGGTCTGAAAATCGTTTCTATCCACAGTGCTGATGAATTGTTAGCTCTCTTGGCAAAAGGAAATAAAAACAGAACTCAGCATGCAACGGACGCTAATCAAGAGAGCAGCAGAAGTCATGCGGTTTTTCAAGTTTATATTAATATCACCAACAAAATAGATGGACAAGTAAAACATGTCAAATTATCAATGATAGATTTGGCTGGATCTGAAAGAGCTTCAGCTACCGGGTGTACTGGTCCAAGATTTAAGGAAGGAGCAAACATAAACAAGTCTTTGTTAGCTTTAGGAAATTGTATTAACAATTTAGCTGATGGGATTAAGCATATTCCTTATCGTGACTCAAAATTAACAAGGCTTCTAAAGGACTCGCTTGGTGGAAACTGTCAAACAGTTATGATAGCAAATATTAGTCCATCTAGTGCAAGTTTTGAAGATACTTACAACACCCTAAGGTACGCTAACAGAGCCAAGAAGATCAAGACCAATGTTAAGAAAAATATTGTTTCTTGCCAAATGCATGTTTCTAGCTACATTAAAATGGTTGAAGAGCAAAAGAAAGAACTAGAGGTTCTTAAGCAAAAATTGCTAAAATACGAGGCTGGAGCAGTACCCGTGGCACCTCAGAATTCTGTAAATAATGAAGAGAAAACTAAAGAAATTCTTGAATTTGCCAACAAACTCGTTGAACTGTACAACAGGAAAAAAGTTCTCAACGAAAAAATACTCTCCTTGGAAAGTTCTGACAAAATTTTGTACTGCAGGATTCTCTACAAAAAGGCAGCTGATGATAGACTGCGTAATTTGACAACTGCCGTGGATGTTTGTAATGAAGATGAAAAAAATGCCAGTGGTAAGTCACGAGTGAACAAGTCACTGCAACATTTCAAACGTCAAAGAGAAACTATTAGAGTACAAATGCAATCTGCTTGGGATGATCTCTGTAAAGTAGAAGAGAGTTTGACAGAACTTAATATAAATATCAAGACTAAAAATCTTTATGACAAACTTGAAGATAAGATTACTTGTTTAATTGCTGAAATTGAGACAGTAAGAATGCAACAACAGTTTGAACATGTCAAAAAAATTAGTAGTCTTCAGCAATGTGAAATGCAATCGGTATCCACCATGGTTAAAATGATGAGCTCAACTTTGCAACATTATTATAACATGATGAGAGGTGGTGGTACAATTACAGACAAGTTGAAACAAGAGTTCAAACAGCTGGTAAAATCACTAGAAGGGATAAGAAACATCAAATGGTCCGATAATGGACTGAATAAGCAAGAAGAAGATTTTTACAGTACAACGTGTCTAAGTGTCGAAGGCCTTGAAAATCCCAACAGTAAAAATATAACTGAATTATTAGAGTTCCATACAGATGATGAGGAGCCACCAACACCAGTACAAGCTCAGACGGAACAAGATGCAATATGCGACGGTAGGCCACCTGAAATTGAGTCTTCATCAAATAATGAAATACTCAATACAACTGTAACGATTAAATCAGATGTAGATCCAGTTACTGAGAGTGAGAGTGAAAGTTCTACTGAAACATCTAAATTGAACAGTACTTTTTGTGTGTCAGACATTAAAGGTAAAAAAAGAGTACTATCTGACAGTAAAAATCAAGTACATCCTAGGTCACCAGCTAAGGTAAAAAAAATTTCACCCAAAAATAATAAAGAAACGAACGGAGTCGTGGTGAATGGTAAAGAAAATGGCAAAGAGTTTCCCAAGCCTACAATGACAGCCAAAAGTATAGCTATCTTGAAAAAATTGAAAGCAGATACGATGAAACCTGCAGTTAATTCAGGAGTCAATGGAGAATCGGCAGATACTCCACTAAAGGCTGTCAGAGGAAAAGAAAGAAGGGGTATTACGTCAACACACCCATACCACAAGCCCAATATTCAGAAACAGCCAATCAACAAGTAAGTTTTTATTATCCTACTGATAAATAAAATATCTAAAATAAGTGTCTAACACATTTATAAATAATTTTCAGATCAACCTTACCGTCAACTCGGGTGCCATGGTAAAAGAAATTTAGCAGTTCATTTCGAGCTAATGTGTGGAAGCATACAGAGTAAGATGTGTAAATATTTTAAACGTTTTTGAATACAGAGTAAAAACCGACAAATATATCTATTATTTGCAAAACGTAACTTCTAAATTTTGAGAAAGTTGGATTTATTTGAACGAAGATTTTTATTTGCTATATTTTTACTTGCTTATGTATATTTTTTTAGAACCGACAAATCATTAGAAAATTATCATAGCCGTCATAACGCTACATAACACTGCTAACTTAATTTTAATTTTTTTAACAAAATCTTTTCGTTAAATAAATAAATAAATAAATAAATAAATAAAAAATAATTTATTTAAATGGTCTTATTAACATGAATTTTCCTGGATTATACTGTTGACTGGTTATCTTATAAAAATACATTTTAAAATAAAGTGATAAGCTATTTGTATTTTAGCCATCTTGACTGAAATCTACGTTAGTTTTAATGGTAAATTACATATTTTGTTATCAAGCAGATTAATTTATACTTGATACCTTTTTGCGTGCAAGATGTGAGAAGTTGTCGTAATACTAGATATTATGTAATGATAAGGAAAAAAACAATAAATACTTGTACAAAAGTCCTATTTTACGTTTCATCATGTGCAAATTTTCAATAAAAATTTCACAATGAAGATTTTTCACTTTCCCTTTCGCTATTTAACAAGTGATTGCCGAAGCTAGCCTGAAATACGAAAAAATTGAATCATTTAATAAAAAAATTAGTAAAAATTTATAGTTGCAAAATAAAAAAAATACATACGTATTCCTCCAAAGCATGCAACACTCGTTTTTCTATCTCGGTGTAACCCTCGTCATATTCCGAATTTGAATGTCTGCTACTGATGATTGTAGGTATTATGGATCTCGTACGGTCAAACAGCGCAGCAAACGATTGTAGAAGAAAAGCAAGAAAAGCTAAGCATGCTAGTACACTTATTGGATCAAAGGTCCTGTAATACAGACAAAAAAACGTGATTTAAAAAAAAAAGATTTTTGTAATTAATTTTGGTTTTTAAAAATCTTGTATTTTGATATTAGTGGTTCATATTAAGACTTACGGTATATAAGGAGGTGCAGGCACTCCGTAGTAACTTCGGGGATCATCCGATCTATCGACTAAAGAACTAACTGATTGCTTTGCCCCTAAATCTTGATTCGCTTTCGAATTTACGTCGATTTCGTGTTTATTCGTACAATGTCTAGCAATCAAACCCAGTTGATCAGGCGAATCCGTTGCTTTACCTTCCAACGAAAAGTCGTGCGTTTTCAATTCTTTACTAATGCCGTTGTTTGATAATATTAGAAATATCAGCGTCGTCAGTGTCTTCACCTAAATGTTAAGTACTTTTTGAAAAATGTCACTGCGTTTTTAAAGCGCTTATTTTGATTTTTTTAAAACAATAGAAATATTGGTTTTTCCATACCAAAAGACCATGCATCGTGCCTCATGTTTAATTTAATACTGAAGGAAAGGCACCTAACGTTTCACTTTATACAAAGTGATTCGCGTGCATGCAGATAATTTTCAAGACGCTCTATTTATTTTTCATGGTTCCTTGATTTCGATAATCTTTCCATTTTAAGAGAGGACATGACTAATTTTTTATATAGAAGTTTACCTGTGGTGAGATCAATTTAAAAACTTTTTTTCCCCTAAAGTATCTGCATAAATATTATGCACAGTAAACTGGTTTCTTTGAGGTTTTTATATAACACAATAATAAACAGTTTTTAAAAGACTAACAAATGTATTTTTTATTTATCTTCGGTATCTTTTGTCTCTGGCTTGAGAAACAATAATTTCTTTACAGCTTCTTTGTATTTGTTAACAGCATATTCGTCTTCGCCATTATTTATTAAATCAGTAACAGCAATTTTGTACTCCGTAGCATGTGGTATTTGCTCATAATCATAATCTTGCGGTACTTCCGGCCAAGTGTATACTGTTACAAGGTTTTTCCTACTTTGTTCTTTATCCCAGTCATAATATTCCATATCAGCCAAAGTTTTCTCATCTTCCCAATCCTCCTTTCTCTGTAAAAAAAAAGTGAAGTTCCACTTATTGCATTTTGTTTAAATAAATTTTAATGTATTTAATAATTAATTTTAGTATGTATCATACCCAAGATTCATGATATAGTGCAGTTAAGAGATATTCAGCATAGTCATAATTTTGTTTTCTCAATGGACAGCGCTCTGCCACAAGAGTTATTAGGTCTGTTTCTGGATCGTATCTATGCTGTAGCAACCTCAATATTTTGTCTTTGGCGTGAGAATCAAGCTCCAAGCTTGACAATTTTAATCTAAAACTAACGATCCTTGCCAATGGGTCTCGGATGGATGGTCCTGAGTATAAGTAGTCAGAAGTAATGACTTCTAAGGGAAAGTGTTTGGTACATTTTTCATCAGTTTCTAACTCTTGAGGCCACTCTGTGCAAAATTGCTTTAAAGCTTCACACTGCCTTTTAATAGCCGGAGGTGTTAAGTGCAGAAAGTTTGGTATTTTCATCAATTCTGCATTAGCATATTTCCCGGGCGGGCCCTGACCTGGCATCGGATATCCTTGCCTCACAGGAAGAGGGACTACAGCCGGATGAAACGACCTCTGGCCTGGCCACACAGAGGACCAATCTTGATCTACTGGCATTTGTTTTTCTCTTGGGGGTAAACATTCATACTTTTTAATGGTTCTTAACTCCCTCTGCGCTTTTTTAGGAACCAGATTCAATATCCTGTATCCATCTGAAATGTTGTACGTAATACAATTACTATGAAAAGTTCAACAATAGCACTAATAATTGAAGGCAGAATCAAATGAAATAATTGAAGCACAAAGTTGAGCAGATATTTAAATGAGTCTTACTCTCTCAACAAAGTGTTTATCCAAAGTAATTAAGTATAAATTACCTTTATCGTACGTATCCCATGACGTGTTTGGTTTTTTTGCCTTTGTAATCGTACGTACAATCGTAATGTGGTTTGCTATTGGTTTGAAGGAATAAACTGTTTTCTCGCAAACTCGTGCAACGATCGACATTTTGCTTATTAATTAGTTTACTATAAAATATTTTTAAAAAGTTGAAAAACAATATAACCTTAACAAAATGCAAACTTTAGAAGCTTTATTTGCGACATTTCAAAACACTTGTCGCCCCGGACTGCGCAGCAGACAGCAGTACTGTGGGGGGTGTGCTTAAAGAAATTCCGAATTCATCGTTCCACTTGTCCAGTTCTTATCAAATCGGGGGCGGGGCATATAACTTGATAGTACTAACAAATTCCCGAGAGTTCAGTTAACATTGGTAATCAGTAAATCAGTTATGCTCCGATTCTTGTCGAGTGAACGTCGTTACTGAATCATTTTGCTATTTAAAAATACGTCAATGTAAATTTTGCAACAATCAAAAAGTGTTGTTATCCATCGTAAAAGTGTATACTCAAGTTTTTAATTATAATTATGCGTAAAGTGTAAACAAGGTGAAAAGAAATAAGATCTGCACGATATTATTTGTAATAATTATAGCTGAGTGCCTTAAATACTTGTGTATTTTCAATTGAAATATGTTGCACTGTCTCAGATTTATACCTATAAACTTAATTTAATTTATTTTTTTTACTTTTCAGCAACTTTAAATAAAAATGGAAAGCGAAGTCAGAAGAAAGATGGACATTTATAGTGATGATGATGATGGTGCTCATGACGATGACAATAGTTCTAAGGTTAATGATGATGACAACGACGATGATGACGAGTTCACGCGCCCACAGATAGTCGATGTTGTAACGAAGAAGAAACACAAGAACCAAGATAACGATTTGTTAAAAGATAACAGGCCTAAGACTACTGATAAGAATAGCCCGTCATTTCGTTCGGTTGGTTTGATTGTAGGTATGTGTATTTGAATATTATCGTTTTTTTTTTATCTCAGAATGCACACAAATTTTAGGAACAAAAATCCGTTTTTTAAATTAAAATATCTATGTGGGAGAAATTTATCGTCTTTCATTAATTATTCTATAGTGATTGCAACAATTACAGTACAGTGTTTTATTTTTCATTGAATAAACAATTGTATCATTTATAACATTGAAGGGCGAATTATAATTCAAAATTTAAAAGCCGACTGGGTAAGTTCGGTTCCGTTTTGATGTTTTGAAATTTAAAAAAATGATCAAGTCTGGAAGATTTGCCGTTTGCCGATCTCTGCTGAGTGCTGACACTGCTGATTCTGCTCTGTATACCCACTCACTATTGATTATGTGTGGGTGTGTATACCTGTGGAAAGTGTATATGGTACAGACACTACAGACTAGTGCAGAAGAGCAGAGAGGAGCACAGTCTTTCGAGATTTATTCTTGAATGATGACGTCTTAGGCTGTGTACAAGCACAACACTTGTCTATTTAAATCAGTGTTGTCTTACCTTTCCCATAGGACTGGTAGCCATGGCGTCTCCACGACCAAAATCTCCTCGTCCAGCTCCAATTTTAGCCAAAAAAGAGGACAAAGAAGAAAGCTTTTGGGATAAAATTGGCACTCTTGGTCGTAAGAAGCGCATAAAAGAAGGTAAACGATTTGATTGTTTTGAAATCAATCAACCTTTGTTGATACAATTGACAGCCATTCTTTAACGTGGGTGGCCATGCCCACATTAGCCATATAAGGTCTCCCTTCTTGACTCGTCTTACTCATTTCATAATTAACGTTTTTTGATATTTAAATAGAGTAATTTTCATTCTTTAATTTATTTTTCAAGTTCAAGAAGTACAAGAAGAGGGTAAATATGCTATTGAATCACCTGGATTTGCTACTACTTTAGACTTTTCGCCAGAAGATTATAATTTAGATGAAAATGAAGAAAGATCCATGATAATCCCAAAAAGTTTTGAAGAACCTAAGGTACAAGAATTAATCAGTGTGTTGATTGAGTGGATTAATGATGAATTAGCCCACCAAAGAATTATTGTCAAAGATATCACAGAAGATTTGTATGACGGTCAAGTACTCCAAAAATTGCTTGGTAAGTGGGGAATGTTTTAACAATAAATAAAATTTACTGAGCATCTTCATATTTCTGAAAACCAATAGTATTATAAGAAAAAATGTCATTATAGAAAAGCTGACTGGTAAAAAATTAGATGTCCCCGAAGTTACTCAATCAGAAGAAGGTCAGAGGCAAAAGTTAGCAGTTGTTCTAAATACAGCTAACAGAGTCTTGGGATGTTACCCTCCTTACAAATGGAGTATCGAATCAATACATTCTAGGAATATTGTTGCAATCTTACATCTTTTGGTCAGTTTGGCTCGTTTATTCCGAGCTCCCGTGAGATTACCAGAATTGGTTTCTGTCCAAATTGTAGTGGTAACAAAAAAAGACGGGGTATTGGCTCATAGAATTGTTAAAGAAGAAATCACATCGACATACGATGATTTAGGAATGAGATGTGAAAGAGACGCCTTTGATGCATTATTTGATTATGCTCCAGAAAAACTGGCAGTCGTTAAGAAGGTAATTGACGACGATATTTCTGAAAAAATTTGTTTTGCGTAAAATAAGTGAAATTTCATTAATTCAAATTTCAGTCTTTGGTAACGTTTGTTAATAAACATCTGAGTAAAGTGCACTTGGAGGTGACAGATCTTGAAAACCAATTTTATGACGGAGTTTTTCTTATTTTATTGCTTGGTCTGCTGGAAGGATTCTTCGTTTCCTTGGGCAGTTTTTACCTCACTCCAAAAACTCACGAGCACAAAGTGCACAACGTAGCTTTTGCATTTGAGCTTATGCAAGATGTTGGCTTACCCAAACCAAAGGCTCGACCGGAAGGTAAATAATTATTTAACGTAACACGTCTTAATGCTTGACAAAATAACTTATAAGCTTTATTTATTTGTAGATATTGTGAACTTGGATTTGAAGTCTACCTTGCGGGTACTGTATAACTTGTTCTCGAAATACAAGGGAATAAACTAACGTCGTGAAAATAATCTTTTTTCACTCATGGAGTATTATTTTTTAATATAATATATATTGATAGTCTAGGTCGATTAAAATCGTATTTCTCTAAAATTTGATAAAAATAATAGATCTGATGAATACTGTCAAACAAATCGAATTTTAACGCCAGACTTGCGTAGATATTTGTATACACGTCACTAACCAAAGACTGCCATTTTAACATAAAAAAAAAGTAATAATTTATTTAATAAACTAAAAAAAAATACGCACTAAAGTGCCTTGATGTAAATTACGAAAATTTTATATAACGTACTCATCACATTTATATTGTTAAATATCGTACTCCTTGTAACGAACGGTTTGTTAATATTATATAACGTATAACATATACGTGCAAATGAAAGAAAAATAAATAAAAACATACTTCAGACTCTTATGTCGGTTTTTTTTTCTCATTAAAACCTGAACGCTCTTTATACAGCTACTGTGTTGTTACAAAGTAGATTCTTCATGAAAGTTCGAAGCGCCCGGTCACGCGAGTAGCCACTTATAAATGATTCACCTGGCGATTCGCGCAATTGTCGGGCTGTATAAGCACCGCCCGATTTCCTCGCATTACGCTACTTTGCGGCACATACCCCGCGACGGAGAGAAAGAAAAATGAACCTAGAATCGTTGCTGTCCAAGTACTGGAACTACAAGCGTCTGGCTCGCCTACTACTTCCACCCGTAGATTGTTACAGGTTTTTGTCCAAGTTCGTTGGTCTGTCGCTGCTCATGCTGAGCTTCACCGCTCTGAATTGTTACTACGTCCACGTAACGGACGTCGCGCGCCTCACTCGCGGCTTCAGCTGGTGCCTCAGCAACTGGACAATGCTGATGAAGGTGCACCCGCGCTTCTTATTATTTTTTTGTGCTGTCGAATGTTCTTTTAAACGTTGATGTGCCCACGACCAGGTGATCCTCTTCGTCGTGCACAGAGATCGACTCTTGGCCATCAACGAGTCCCTTGACCAAACCCTCGACGGAGAACCCAAGAGCCTGCTCGAGTCTCTGCTGCTCCAACGCTTGTCCGTCTATTACACGATGATCATCGCTCTGGCAATGGCTTGTTCGCTGTTCGCCTTCATGATCACCGAGAGGCAGGAACAACATCCTCAAGCTATAATGTGATCATGAATGAATGAATGAAAAAACAAATTTCCCACAGAAAGTTCCTGCTCGTGTACCCGTTTGGCCTCTTATACTACCTCATCTACGGCTACGAGGCCCTGCTGGCTGGGCTCTTGTTCCGCGTGAGCTGCGGCACCGACGCCGCCTTTGGCCTCTGGGTCTTTCAGCTGTCGGCCCAACTGCGGCTCTTGGCTCTCTGGTTCGGCAAATTCGCCCTCGACATACGCCAATGGAAGCACGAGACGCTGATTCGTTGTCACGACCATCCGCAGCGCGTTTTCAGCCTCATAGTCATTTGGCTCTACGTCACGATAGCGCTCGTACTCTGCGAGTGCCTTCACAAGTTGTCCAAGGTACTCTTTTTGTAACACATCTATATATACATACATATGAGTTTTGCATAGAGATTTAATCGTTATTTCCTTTTATTTCTCTTTCAATTTCAAGATGCCCGTGAGATGTTCCTTCTGGCAGTCGGTGGTGCTTTGGACCTTCGCCACCAAGTTCCTGCAAGCCTTCACGTGCGCCTACTGCGGGAGCCTCGTGGAGAGCGAGGTACGTTGTTGCCATGTATTTTTCCGCGTCTTGGCATTATTTGAGGTCGAGCTGAAAATTTTCAGAGCGAAAAGGTACGGCGCGCGATTTACGATTGCCAGTGGCACGACTCGGGGGGACAGGCGGATCATGAGCGACGTGCTCTCCTTGCTGGTGCAGAGACCGATCGACCTGAGCTCTTACAACAATAATATACTTTTTGCTTTCCATGCACATGTTCGGAAAGGTTTTTGCCGATGTTTCGTCCTTTTTCTTTTTTTTTTTTTTTTTTTTTTTTTTTTTTTTTTTTTTTTTTTTATACCGATCGTCGTTTTGTTTCTTCTTTTAGATCGTTAACGCGGTCTTGTCGTACTTTTTTTTTTTTTTTGCTACGAGCTTTGGAGGCGTAACGGGTAAGTGGTGCGCTAAAATAGCGTCGCAGTTATGCGCACATTTTAATGCACGTCAAATTATGTCAATTCGTTGAATCAAGTTTACCATAAAATACAAAAGGTACTGCTTATTATACAATATGCTTTTTGATTTTTCAACATTTTCACTTTTATGTCAAAAATGGTGAATAATAAAAATTATGTTTGATTAATAGTTTCGTTTTTTTCCTATTTTGAAAGCGTACAAAAATATAATATCTGAGTCCCTTCAAATCAGGTATTATAATATGTGGTATGCCGTTTACGTGGTAAGTAGGGAGATAGAAAATTATTACCCAGTAAAACTTGGACATCGATACTTTGTCGAAGCGATTTCTGGATAATTCAACTGTTCTTATTTCGATGGTAGCGGAAAAGAAAGTTTCTTGCTGTAATAAAAAGTATCGCATTTACTTGTACAAAGTGAGCCAAAACTACTTGCAAACGCTTTGTTTCGATCTGCACGAAGTTTCTTTTGTTGTAAATGGATTGTTTTCAAAAAAACAAGTACAAGTGTACTGTTTACGTAAATTTTACGAACATAATAAGTTTACCGCTTGCAACATTACGCAACGATATGCCGTAGTAGTTATAAGACGTAAGCATTAATTTCTCATATGTATATACTATCCCTGCAGACAAATCACGTATTGTACTACATTATACTCAAACTTTTTTTAGCACATAGGCCTTATCGTGTTATCTCGAGGAGTAAAAGTTTTTTGTACTATAGAATAAAAATTAATAATTTTTTTTTCTGGGATACACATCTTAACTATAACTATCCACATGTACAAGATAATTCGATTATAGTGCACAGTATTATGATTTTTAATCGGTGCAAAACTTTGTTTATTTTTTTTTGGTCCCATATCTTTGAAGGACTTTAAAACAAAATTTTCGCAAAAAACGTACTGTTCGTCAGTTGCAGATTGAGTTAGGAATAATAATGGTTTTCCGACCTGCTGGTATATTCGATTATAAACGCGCCTCCGCAAAAGCTCTCGACCCGACACTCTTGAACTGTTAAACACTTGCGCTTCACTCGAGCTGCACACGACACTGGAAATTGCATTTTTTTTTCACCATCGTATTTGTAATTTGTGTAAAAACTCAATATAAGATATGCACCGAGTATATTATTCATAATAATAATAATTCGAGATCATGATGTAAGTGCACATTAACTGTAGCTCAACGGAATTAATGAAAAGCAAAAATTACAGTCTGGGTCTCACAAACATACCGCATCGCAGGATTTTTCGATTTCTTTGAAAGTTGATACGAAAAAACAGCAAATCTTGATTGATACATCAAATAAACGTACACGTGTGGTATAGATTAACACAACGGCTTGTATTTATTTTGAACGCTCCGAAGGTCCCCGTATTGAAAAAAAAAAAAAAAAAAAAAAAGTAGAACAGTGACACAATTGAAATAGCGAATTTCTCTCTCGAAGATGTGCAGTTGCACGGATACGGCAGTCCAAGAGTCACGCGAAACATTTCAATGCAATATCCGACTAGAAAATTGGATTTTATACTCAGTCATCTCTTTCTTTTTTCTACTCACCTAATTCTTCGTTGCGATGTTACGACTATTATTTTTGTTTGTCTCTAATACATGTCTTTGGCTGAACTTTCTCGTTTTCCAATGGGTTCTGCGTTTTTTTTTTTTTCCTGACGAAACATCAAACGGATAAGTATGGGCCAAAAAAAAAGAAAAAAAAAGCAAGTTAAAAATAGATCCATCCTCGATCAAGTCATCAATAAGCAACACGTTGGCTCGTTCATTTTTCTGTAACGTACAAAATATTATCTGTTTCCACAAGCACGGAAATGGAACACATGAATACGAAATACATACATTACCCTCGTCGACGATCGTGGCTACGTGCTATCGCGATTCTCACGGGAAGATAGAATCGCTTCAGCGTCACGCGAGCCCTTACACGCGTCTCCTCGTTTCTACATCCCTCCAGTTCAGTGTTACTTGCTCGTCTGAGGCTACAGGAAGCTTCGTTTCCTTTTTTTTCTTTCACTCGCCTACCCAAAGCGAGAGATGGAATTTCAGTAGATATTGTGCCCATCTTTTCTTTTTTTTTTTTTCTTTTTTTTTTTTTTCAATTATTCATCAATTAAGGAAGCGCTGGTACACACACTTTGTACATCGAGAGCGACGAGTGTTGACGGAATTTTCAATCGAAACGGGGGTAGAGGCTATAGATTTTCAAACAACACCGAATAGTTTTCACTCTGCCGTATAATGTTGCCACAAAAACATTCCTCCGCCACTCGAACGAGGATGAAAATCAACCGGCATTCGCAGAGTGTTTCATCATTTGTTCGCCCATAAGTTAGTTTGGGGATTGGAAAAAAAAAAAAAAAAAAAAAAAAAAAGAAAAAATCGGCAAGCAGTCGCCCAACGGTACGTATACCGATTGAAAAAAGAAGATGTACACCTCGTTGGAGAGCGACACGTTGGAGTACCTGTCGGGCTTGTCGAGGAAAAGCCGGCGGCGCTTCTGGAGCGGGGCGAGCTGCCTGCGCCGGTCGAGCCTCTTCTCGTTGTACGCCAAGATTTTCCGGATGCTGTTGGGCAGATGGGAAAAGGGAAGCTTGGACGAGAGCGCCGAGGTGGACGAGTACGCTTGCGAGCTCGAGCGGCTCGTGCTCCCCAGCAACGAGGAGTGGCGGCTGAGGGTCTACTACCGGCTTGTCGAGCTTCAGCGCGAAAGCGACTGCGCCCAAGCTATCGAGGACAAACCGTGAGTTTTATCAATTGATCGGTACTTTGATACTCACAGCGGCGATAAGAAAACACATAAATAATCACGACGGAGGTTTTACAGTTGACAGAGGTTTTTAATTCTATTTTTTTTAATGATGGATCAATTTTGTGGGTCACATAAATATTATGTGCTTTCCACTTTTAATCGTTAGAACAGTTGTTTACAAGAAATACGTATAATCTACTGTGATAAGCTATACCTAAACGTATTTTTCATAAACCTACAATTATATACATTTCCAAAATTAATAATGCCCGTTTGACTAAGATAAGATTCTTTGTAGTGTTAATCTTACAAATATTACAAGATTTGTTTTCAACTTTTGAGCTCTATATATAATCTATAACTTATTAAGAAAAATGACCATTAGATCGTATCTTTTCTCAGGATTCATTAAGAAACACCTAATAATATATGAGGAAGTCAGATTGAGTTCCACGCGTGTGCTTTATTTATCTAATGACAACAAAAATAATCATTTCATTAGTATTTCATGGAATCCATTATATTGTGGTGTATAACTATATCACAACGATACCGATACTATTGTGCATCATCGGATGATTCCATTACCTGGAAAAAAAAAAATTTGATTATCATTATGAAAACAATCTACCTAGTTACTTTAAAAAAATTATAAACTGACAATTTCTCAGGTAAAAAAAAAAAACGTGCTATTTCAATACAATTAAGAAATAAAAATACTTGTTGTTCGTAAACAAGTCCGATTATCGTTAACGACTCGTGTTGTAAGTATAGGTACACCTAATTCATGGGGGAGCAACCTGAAGGGCGTTTCGTTGAAATTGCAAAAGTTCCATAACCAAATTCCCATTTGTGTACACCCACTCGTTGTCACCCTATACTACACCGATTAATCGTCGCAGGGGAGGAGCAAAAAACCATGAAAAACCTCAAACGATGAGGGCAAAAAATAGTATTTAAAAAAATCACGTAACCACATAATAACTTGGGAGCCAGTAGTATGACGGAAGATCCAGCAGTCCGGGACGGCAGTTACAGCAAGAAACTGCTGAAGGAGTTCTCGAGGAGCCGCGACAAGGACAAGTGGGATTGGGAGCCGAACGCCGGGACGGCCTACCCCTTGACGCCCCGTTCCAGACATAGGCTCGACTCCCACGACTCCAATGCCTCCGTCATACTGGACGGCTGCGTCGAGCCGGGATGGAAACTCGAGGACATACTGCTCGCGGCCAAGCTGCTCCTAACCGACGATCCCCACCAGCAGAACCATTACAGGGACGAAGCCGAGATGCGCAGGGTCTACGGACTCGTCTACGACGTCCTCAGATGTACGTCAAATTATAATATAATCCTTGAGTAGGTATATTGTATATAGTAAACCCCATTGGGTGGGTCATGATGCAGACGAAACCGTGCTGGAGCGCGCCCTGGACGACGTTGGCTTCTGGGGGCGCTACGGTCGGCTGAAGAAGCGCGACAAGGTAGTCCGGCTGCTGCTGTACGACATGCAGGGCCGCAAGTTCGCGAGGGTCGGCAACGGTGCCGCGATCGCCCGGAGAAACGAGGCTCTGGCCGAGGCTGGACTCTTGGACATCGAGAAGGCCCTGCTGGCGACGAGGACGCGCTTGGCCGCCAGTCTCTCGCGGCTGCGCATCGGCGGATCGGCCCTCAGTTTGGGTACACGCGCCCCAACCACGTATTATATATATATATTCAATATAATTTTATATCACAGCGAGATGATGCTACATAAATATGTACTATAAACGGGTGTTTTTTAATTTCGGGAACATATATAATTTATGGAATATGTGTAATTTCGTCGTAGACGAACTGTTGCCTGCCCACCTGCGGACGGCCGAGGGCGTGACTTGGGGCGAGGAGGGCTCCATCGCCTCGGGTTGGGTGAACAGCGCGAAACTGCCCAGCCGGAGCGACTTTGTCAATGAAATGAGCAAACTTGGGCTGCGGCTGTGCAGCATCTGCTCGCCGACCGGGGAACTCGACGAGGACCAGTACGCCTTCGACCCGCTGTGCCCCAAAGTCGTTAACTTGCACGAGAAGGCGCGGGAACGGCTGGCCGTCTCCGACCTCGTGCGCAGCCACAGCTTCGTCTTCCTCGTACTGATGCTTATAATGTGCTTATTCAGTATACACACGCTTGGAATTTCTTTGCACACACGAGTGGTTTCCAGGAGAGATCGCTGTGCGTGGGTGCGGCGGCGATGGTCCAGGCGATTCGCGCCGGCAAGCTGTGCGGTCCAGTGATCGTGACGCATGGCACGACCCTTGCACCCAGGCACACCGGCTACTTGGCCGAACTGCTGGCCGACGTCGAGAACGCGGGGGTCATCCTGGTGTTTGCCCTAGGCGACGAGCTGGACCGGCACAGGGCCTATCTCAATGGTCTCGGCATATCGCTGCAGCGCTACAAGCTCTACGCCGAGAGGTACGCGTATATGCAACAATGAGCTAGATCAGTCTCTGGTCTATTTTTCGACTAGATGACAGCAAAATGTCGTAAACAAAAAAAAAAACAAAAAAATATCAGGTACCCGTGCGCCCCGAGTTCAGCGGAAATCGAGCGGGCTACGATAGTCCTGGCTACGCCCCCGTGCAGCTACACCGGGGTGCGTGATGTCGTTGATCTCGCGATCGCTCGGGGCGGGGACTTGCGGCTACTTGAGTCATTGACGAGCACCGACTCGGAGTCACCCCGGCAGCCGCGCGTCCTTCTCGCCGAACAGATGGCCACCCTCAGGTATGCCCTCACGAGACCCAATGTGCAGCTACTATTCTACGAGGTCCACACTCTCCTGCCTTGCGAGACCACGGACATGATTAAACAGGCTTTTGATTACGCCAACAAAATGGCCAGGGACAAGTATCTGCGGGAACATCCGGTAAGAAGTTTTTTTTTTTTTTGTTTTTTTTTTAATGACACATCGAAAGTATGTTTGTTTCCATGCAATACCAGCAGAGGAAAAAACCTCATCCCAAAGAGCCGGGAAAGAGGAGCAAGAGAAAGCGCTCCCTGTCCGTAGAGCAGATCGCGCAAAAGTCGCAGCAGCAGGACGAAAGTAGATCAAATCTGGAGTCGGAGGAAGAAGCTCTCGATGTGCGTAAACCTATATACGACAATTGTGGGGGTGGATTATGGTATATACATTTGGGTCGATTCGAGCAGATCCCGGAGAGCGACTTGTTCGAGATGTCGACCCTGAACGACCTGTACAAGCAGGACTGCGGCCGGCTGTTGGACCCGGGCTCGTTCATCGTCGTGGTGAAGCGCAAGGAGATGATGCAGTTCAACTCGCTCTTCATGATCAAAGTCGCCGAGGCCAAAGGTGTCTTTGGCCAACTGACGCTGAAGAGGCCCAAAACGCCCGAGCCTACCGATGATTCTTGCGACAACGCTCTTGCCCCACCTACCCCGGTTCCTAGCGATCCGAAAATCGATCGCAAAAAGAGTCGCAAGAAGAGCAAGGTAAAGCCCTTTTTTTTTTCTTCTAAGAATTATTTTGATTACGCGTACAAGTAACAAAAAATACACGGGATCAGATTCACTTTGAGCGTCTGGCCGCGCCGACGTACGCTTCGGTGGCACGAGTCCTGCATGAGCGCCAGGTGTGCCCGCGGCACCATCAGCACCTCGTGCACGAGGAGAGCGCCCTGGAGTCGCAGGTACGAGAGGCCCGCCGCCGAGACGCCCGCAGATGGTGGGACGAGCTCGCGCAGCTCTGGCACACCGGTAGCTGGAGCCACGACTATCAGTTCCGGGCCCTGCGCACCGATCCCATAACCCAAAAGTTGCTCTTCCCCTCGCACGTCATGCGCATCACCTACGCCGATCAATCGCCCGTCGCGTAATAGTCGGTATACCCCATGATCTATACCTGCAGCGTGCCCTCAGATTCTTTTTTCCCCGGTTTTTTTTTCCCTTTTTTCCAACGTTTTACAAAATGTACACACCTCTGCCGCTGTTTCTGATGTACACCATTGATTTTGAGATGCAAAATTTCAACACGTATACACACAGGTTGTGGGTAAAAATGATTAAAAAGATAAAAACCTGCTTTGTTGTGACTGCAGAAATCTCCCGCCCCTCCCGAACCCATACCCGATCCACCTGCGTTAATTACCCATTGCAACTCGCAGAGCCCCCCAACAGACAGTTCGAGCGAAGACGACGACGACTCTGACTCCTGCGCGGTAATTATCTTAGTCTTGTATCAATAACCATGTTGTACTCGTTCGATTGAAATTACGCGCAATTGTTTGACGATCCAGAACGAGGAGTCACCAAAAGCAAAGGAACGCCTGGAGTCAAAGTACGCCAATGGCGATTCGGGCGGTGGTTCAGTGGTTCAACGGAGCAGCGCAAAAAAGTAACAAAATTTCATCGGTCAACTGAATCGATTTCATCAGAGCCAACGAAATCACACATACTCCTTAATTTTAGACTGTACTCGAGTGCTCTACCGTCACCCATGCCAGATCTGTTCGACGATTACGTCAAAAGGAAGGGTCACGGGGATCTGTTTAACATACGCTTCAAGCCGATGCACCTTCAGGCCCGGCGCCACGGTCCGCAGTTGCGAGCCAGGAGACTGAATCGAATCCCCTTCCAAAGCCGCTTGGATACGGTGTACGAGCACAGCCAGAGTTTCTCTTATACTCCCTCAACCCGGACGAGTGACGGCGTGCTCGTGGACAAAGGGCTTTTGAAATAAGTGTAAAACCGCAATATACTCTTGATATGAGATGAATAAAAGACATTTTATTTAACAACGGAACACTTGTGACATTTGAAGGGTGCAAAGTGGGATCGGGTTTATTAACTACTACCTCATCACATTTTCCAACGCGTGCCACACAAAATTCATAACGCCCCTCAGTTGGGCTGTGAAAGCGGAAGCAAGCCAAAAGTAATCGAACCGCGCGAGTTGCTGGCAAAACCCTTCGTTTGAAACGCCTACGATCTCCGAAGGGTTTTTCAGGCTGGCTCCTTGGCTCACGCCGTTCGGGTCGAAGAAGGACGTAACTGCGTTCGCCGACTCAAAGAGGTCGTCTTTGAAAAAACTCCAGAGCACGTGGCTGCCAAAACCAAAGGTCAGCCAAAAAACTTTCGAAGAGGAAACCTTTTGAAAAATCACCCGAACCCTCAAGCGTGCGTACATCAGCAAGTCCACGAGCCGCTTGGAATTTGGAATTTTCAAGTGGTCGGCGACAATTTTCTTGAACTTGATAATTACAATCGCCAAAATGACCACGCATACACCAGACAAGAGGTAATGTGGTCGCCAATCGAGCATTTTCACGTACTCGTACAGTTGAGAGAGGAACGACCCGAATTCCACCAAGAGCGACAAGTGAAACCGTTTTACATCTTGGAAGAGCTGTCTCATCCTCCAGTAGATAGCAATCAAATAGTTCGTGGACAACTTCTCCGACTCTCCGACCCATATGACTAGCCGCAAGAGCGTTTTGGCGGTGATCTTCTTGGCGGCTGAAAAAAACGCAGCCACCTGGAATCTCTTTGCGTGCGACACGAGAATGACGAGTAAAATCAAGAATCCTATCGCCGACTCCTTCGTCGCGAAGATCCCGCCGGTGGCTCTTCTCCTCTTGTCCGATCCTTCGCTGAGACTCTTGCAGACTTGGGCTTTCTCGGTGTTCAGCTGAAAACGATGCAACTCGTCGATGTCAAACTTTGAAAATCGTTACATCCACTCTTTTTTTACCTCCTTCCTCGGCAAGTAGAGTTTCTTGCGACCATTGATTTTCAGCTCGTCGCTGAGGGCAACTATAACGGCGTCCTTTCTCCGGCACCGGCCCTCGAGCGCGTCGATGACGTTCAGCAGGCAACTCCGCGTCTGCTTCGCAAGATCAACGGTGCTGCTACTCGAGGCTGCGTGGAGACTCTCGATCTCGGACGACTTGCCGATCAGAGCCACGGGGCTCTCCAGGTTCTGCAGAAAGTCCTTGAGGTTGCGATTGCGGATTTTCAGGCGCTCCAGGCCCTCGCGAAGCTCGTCGACTTTTAAAAACTTGACCACGCAATTGAAACACATGTTTGAAACATCACCCGATTTCTCATCGAAGGGCGAGTATATATGTTATAAAAAAAAAAAATTACCCGAAAATTATCGACAACCGCGTTCGAAAGGGAGTTTGGGAACGTGTTTTTCTGCGCGTCGGTGATGTGCCTGAAACTCACGACCGCCGTGTGCGCGTCGAGGGTGTCCAGTCCGCCTCGGCATCTCTCGACTTTTTTCTGTTTCACTGATGATACATTTTCTAAGTCAAATGTCTCCGTAAAGGCATAAACATCATCACTCCGAAATACCATTTGTCTTGGCGTCCCACAAATCCTCGTGCGAGTGATTTTTGCTGCAAAAACAGGTGAACTTGGATCTCTCGCTGTAACACGTTTGATCGTCGTCGCTAGAGTAGTCCGGCGATGCCAGTTGGTCGCACTTGCAGGGGCAACTTTTTCTGCAACGTAAGCACGGCAAGCTCTCAAGTATGTGTTATTGGGATGGTATATTTTGATTCTTTTGAGCGATCAGCTCACATGTTTTCTTTCGCTTTGGTCGTCGCGCGTTGACATTGGCACGATATCTCCGAATCGGACGAGGACGACGATGACAAAGACGAACACGAGTCGTGACAGGAACACTGGGTGTCTTTAATGCCCGTTGTGCCTTTTTTGATTCCCAAGTCACGCTCCCACTCGTCGCAACTGCACACGACGCAGCTGTTGCACTAAAATCAAATGTACCCACATCAAAAAACAAAAGAAGAAAAAACCAAGGCAACTCTCACCTTGGGGGCGACCTTGCACCCGCAGTCACTGGACCGTGCAGCCGACGCGTCCTTCCGCCTCGTCTTCTCGAGCACGTGGGCCAAGTTCTGAGCTTCCCTCGTCAGACCGGCACGGTTGTCGTTCAAGCTGCGCAAGTTGTTGCACAATTTTTGGCTGTAGCTCTCGAGCAGGCACAGCCTCTCCCTCTGCACGTCCTTGCGGCTCCTTCCCTTCCCGGCGATTCGCCGGACGTAAGCCTGCTCGGTACGCTCCATCTCGTGGATCTGCTCGCGCAGCGACTTTTCCTTCTTGGCGAGCCCGTCCACCGGGCACTCGGCGCTCGGTCCATCTGATGAACAACAGTTTTTTACACACACCTACTCGGTGAATGAAGAAAAGTCGTAATATTGACCTTTCGGCTCGCTACACGTATCCTGGACATGCCGAGGTGCTTCTGCGTCCGGGTCCAACGGGAGCATCTTTTCCAGCCGGCAGAGCTTTTCCCGCAAGCACTTGACGTGCCGTTCCATCTCCTCGACGCGGCGCTCGTCGCACTGGACGTACCCCGCTCGATTTTCTTCTTGGCACGCTTCTTGAGCTCGAACCTCCATATTTTTTTTTTTTTTTTCTTGCTTTTTCTTCCTCCCTACCTCGATGTGACCTCGAGATATTAACGGTTACTTGCTTGCATCTGGTACAACACAGATGTACCACCGTTTTCGTTCCACGAGAATTTACATGATTGACGAAAATGCAGCACGCGCTGTTGTGGTCGTCGTTGCCGACCTAATGAACATATTCGATCTCAGCTCGTCTTTTTTTTTCTTCCCCAACTCACCTACTGTCTCCCCGTACATTGCACGAAAATCGCTAAAACCAAAAAACCAGAGTATAAATGTTGAGCCTTCGCAATCCGATTGTACGCCGCGCCAAGGATGCACTACTGCCGATCGCGACCGCGCGCGAGGCTTCGACGCAAAGCATCAAAACCAATCCGGTATCCGAGTGGAATAAACAAAAAATATCTCTCAACCCTCGAGGTTATAACGTAAGTGTTTTCTCGGAAGCAATACGAGCTGTACAAACTGGACAAGGGTCCGGCTGACACGGCCGAGCTCGGGGCGGACGAGGCGTCGGTCTTTCTCGAGCAAATGCTGCGCATCCGCCGGATGGAGAACAAATCGGCCGAGTTGTACCGCGCCAGGCTTATCAATGGATTCTGCCATTTGTACTCGGGTCAGGAAGCCGTGGCTGTGGGCATCAAGGCCGGCATGCACGACAACGACACCCTCATCACCTCGTACAGGTGCCACCCGTTCGCCATCCTGTTTGGCGGAAGCGTTCGCCAAGTTTTCGCTGAACTGATGGGCCGGCAAACCGGCTGCTCCAAGGGCAAGGGGGGCTCCATGCACATGTACGCCCCGAAATTTTACGGCGGTGACGGCATCGTTGGCGGACAGGTGGGCGTGCCTTGACGTTTTTCCTTTGACGATCGGTAAGTATCTTGTCGACTCCACAGGTCCCGGTGGGTGCTGGCATAGCCTTCGCGCACAAGTACAACGGCGACGGGGCGGTGTCCATAGTTATGTACGGGGACGGGGCAGCGTCCCAGGGACAAATTTTCGAGGCGTGGAACATGGCGAAACTGTGGAACTTGCCGATCGTGTCGGTGTGCGAGAACAACAAGTACGGCATGGGCACGAGCACGAACCGGCACTCGGCCAACGATCAGTTCTACACCCGCGGCGATCTCATACCCGGCCTCAAAGTATACAACAAAACCCTTGCTGTCAAAGTAAATACATACATGTGCATTGATACTTACAGGTGGACGGTATGCGGGTAGAGGAGGTGCGCGAGGCCGTGAGATTCGCTAGGGAGTACGCGGTCCGCGATGGGCCGATTAATCTTGAAATGGTGACTTACAGATACTTTGGGCACAGTATGAGCGATCCTGGCACGGGTTACCGGACCAGGGATGAGGTCAAGTCTGTGCAGAAACAGCAGGACCCGATCAAGAATCTCATGCATCTTCTGGAGAAGCACAATATCAAGACCAAGGAGGAGATCGAGGTGATGTATATACATGACTCTTGGGAGTAAAGCGAAAAAAAACAAAAAAAAAAAACAAAAAAAAAACACATATTGACGTGTGCGATCGTTGAGTTTTATTTTTTTTAACTGATGTTCATCCTCTCCAGCAACTGAGGAAAAAGATTAACAAGGAGGTTGACAAGCAGCTCGAGGAGGCGAAAAAAGACGCTTGGACGGATAAGTCGGAGCTGGCGACGGATATCTACGTCAAAAGCTTGGAACCCGTACGGGGTATGGTCCCCTGGGAGATTTATTAGTTTAAAAAAAATTTTTTTTTCTCACCTCGAGGTATGTATGAAAAAAAAAAAAATTACAACGTGACAAGCATTATTTTAAAGCACGTTTACTGTAGTAACGTAAAAAAAAAAAAAATATCGCATTTAAAATAAATTAACAATGGTTTATTTGTATAAACTATAAGCAAGACTCGAGTATAGGGGTCTGCGTTTGTAAAAAAAAAAAAAAAAAAAACAAATACGTATCAACGGTACAATAATTCGATATTTCGATCGGGGCAATCGATCCTGCGCCCCATAGATCTTGCTCTCGTGGCTTGTCCATCCGTTTCATAGATAAGCTTTTGTAGGAGTAAGTATTTGGTATATGTAGTCTCTTTGTCATAGCCTCGGGATTAATGCGAATTATCCCTAGTCATTGTCGTATCAATGGCATCACCAGCTCACGCAGGTTTCAGAGAGCGTGACATCGCTGTACAAATTGTCCGATTGCTCGACGACCTTGCGACCGACGGGCTTCGGCACTTGGTAGTGCTGCTGCAGGTTTTGCTGTCTTTGGATGGTGAGCTGCAATTCCGAGAGGAATAAATTGTTTTCTGCAACGTTTGATATTCACTTTGTTATTCAATTGTCATCGTAAACACGTAGGATTAAAGATACATATGGACAGTGTGGATGCGTGTATAAGCAATGAAAAGTGTGTATCTATCGTACGATTAATTATAATGAAAAAAAGTAGTAAAAAACTCACTCAACGGGTTGATGGGTCGGCAGTGCTCGTTGTCGGCGTGAAGCTTGGTGCAGCCCTTGCAGCCTTTGACGTCGGCTCCACCATCGTCGTAAATATCTTGGGAAATGACGCACTTTGTGACTGCCGGCAAACTGGAATATATGGGCCTCGGTGGGGGTGGTGATACGTAATCGCCCTCCGTGACTTGCTTCTCCCGTTTCTTCGCCCCCACCTTCTGCTCGACCTCTTCGTTAACTCGCCACATGGCCGAGTCCGTCCGAGACAAAATCAAAGATTTGACGGAGTTCGGGGAGCTCGACTCGTGATTTTTTGCACTCGCAACTACCGATTGTTGGATTGCAGTGGGGGGCGTCGAAAGGACCAGCTGCATCGACGCCGTTTTCGAACTCGTCTTGTCATCCTTGAGTTTCAGCGATAGCTTGCGCGTGCGCATCCGATCCAGGAACGAGCGCTTTTTCCTGGGCTTTTTTCCCACCGCTGTCTCGGTTTGTTCCTTCACCTCCTCTGCCTTGGCTGACTCGGCTTCCCCCATCTTGTCCCCTACCTCCACGTCGACTTGCCGCGTTTCCGGTGCCACATTCGCTAACCCATCCAACTCCTTGACACGCCTCACGTCGTCGTAATCGTTTTGACTGAGACTACCGCTGCTGGCGCTCCTCGACCGGACTTGGTCGTGAACCGAGGACTCGTCGCTTTCGTTGCTGCTCTTCATCGACGCGTTGGCCGACTTTACCACCTTGCCGTACAGCTCCTGCTCCGTTCCGCTCTGATTTTGGACCGGACTCTGGCCCCGAGGATCGCTGTCCACGCCAAGAGGGACCGGAAAGTTCTGGTATTCCCTCTGAGCCTTCAGATCCTCGATTTTGTGGTACAATCCCTCGTCCTCGTCGGCCTCCTCCCTTGGCTCGTACGTTATCGGGTGCGAGGACTTGAGCGACTCTTGCGACGGCAGCGACGGCAACCTCCTCACCCGCGCCGGCAACGCCGGGACGGCTGCAGGCGACTCTTCCACCTTCACGGTGACTGACTTTTTTTCTTTGGGCTTTGGCTATGTTTTTTTTCCCCCCACAAAAAAATTCTTAATAAAGTCCCAATTGATGGGATGGATCTTTTGTTTTGCGACTTGTGTGTGTGTGTGTATTTACCGGTGTCGTCGGGACGAGGACGTCCTCGTAATTCTGTCGGATGCGTTCCTTGACCTGCTCGACGCATTTTGACCGCAGTTCCATGACCGGGCCGATGGCGTCGGTTTTAAGAGTATCCTTGGCCTCGTCGACGTGGCACTTGGTCACAGCGGCGATCCAATCGCGCATCTGCTGGTCGCTTTTGGCCGCAAACTGGTAGGTCCGTTCGCCCGGACAGTAAAGCTCGAAGGTGGTGTTCTTGTGGCGCCGGTCGCGCGCCAGGGAACCCGGGGCCGCACGGCACCTGTACTTTTGCAGCGGCAGCACCGAGTGCGGCCGGTTGTCCTTCTCGCTGCCGTACAGCAGCAGGTGCGAACCGACCAAACTGATCTGCAGCGATTCAATTGACATTAAAAACCAAACAACGCATGCTATTTTATCATTGTTATTGTTATATGTACCCAGCAGTGTTGCCTGTTCAGCCAGAAGACGCTCAGAGGGGAGAACATCTTGCGGATGGCCGTGAGGTGGATCAGAGTTCCCGACTTGGTGGCCTTGTCCTTGGCCTGGGCGGCCGTAAAATTCCCGCAGCGCAGGACAACCTCGTCTATCTCGAGGCCCTCCTCGGCTACCGGTATCCCGTTGGTCTTGTCGCTCATCCAGCGCTTGCTGCCTCTGTTACCCCGAAACTCCTGGAAGGCCTCGTAATAGTGCTGGAGCGAGCCCCTCTACGACACATGTGTTATTCCAATAATAACTATGTAGATAATTAAATATATACAATGGTAAACACGCGAGTGAGGGGACCCTCTCACCTGAGACTTGGGAGTCGCGTCAGCGGGAACGTACTCCTCGAGCGGCTCGTCGTCCATGTCGCCGGGCGTGAGAAGGGGCATGCTCCTGCACGCCCCGGGGCCCATCTCGATGTACGGTTCGGCCAATTCCGCGCTACGCTCGAGAACCGTGCCCAACCGCTCGAGCAAATTCTCGCGCAAGTTGCTCTGGTCGTTCGGCAACTCGACCTTATCCAGGGACTCGAGGAAAGTCACGGTATCTGCGCATGTTTTTTTTCTTACCATTAGCACACATAGTCATGAAGAATATGGGTACACACAAGCGTGTACGGTGTTTAAATTTTTTCTAAATTTACCGGTGCAGCGTGACATTCATGCCGATGAATCGAAAGACCACACGTTTGTTTGATCAAGTGTACCCCCGAGTGGGCTAAAAAAAAAAAAGGAAAAAAATATAATATAATACACTCACCTCGAAGGAGTCCCGCCACGTATCCGTCCAGCCCGTGCATGGCTCGCTGAGATTTGTAATTCATTCATGCACACGAGACTCTCAGCCCTCCGTGGGACGAATTATCAGCGAAGGCATGTATACCAATACTTTCAGCAACTCTCGTATGGATCTTTTCGAATGTTAAACCGTACGCAGCCTTGTCGATGAAACGGCAACGTCCAAAACGCAAGAATTATGTTCTCGAGTCATCGATGTCGCATCGCAGGAACATGATGCAGGATAACAACGAGCGAGGCGCGCGTGGGAGGATATGCGTGCTCGCTCTCGATAAGTAAAGTATGTATATGTGCACGCGTACGCGCTGCTACTATCGGCTGATGGCACGCTCTTCGATCACGCACCGCTTACATATATATGTATGCATTGCTCTCGTTGTATACAATTTTGTGTTTACGATGACGAGCGTTGTTTTTCCTGAAAAGAAACAAACAATCGGTTTCAACCGTGACTTTCTCCCTCCCTCTCCTTAGCCGATAATTATTGCTATGTGTAACGTATAGCGATTATGTTAATTATTGCCATATGTGTAACGATTATGTTTTGCTCGGTGAAAGTTATTAATTCTATTATTTTTGTCTTGATGATTCACTTGACCATCACGACGATTTATGGCTCCGAGGTTTTCACGTATCCGTCCAACACACTTTCGATACAGTTTGACGTGAAAAAAAAAAAAAAAAAAAAACAACAAAACAAAACAATCATTTGTACGCGCCCAAAAATTTTGTTTCAAGTAAATGTATCGATCAAAGGGTGGGAAAACTGTGGTACCGAGCGTTGAACTTTGCGAAATCGCCTCGCATTTTCCGGGATTTCGATTACCGCGTTGTTCCGCTGATTCCCCGCAGTCCCGGTATACGTACACCAAAGTGCATCCCATGGCATACTTAGCTGATGTCTCGTCTGGCTCTCACGTCATCGTACAATACGCGTAATATGTAAGTTACACATACTTTACAAACTCGGTCGCGTGAGTGTGCATCGCAAGAAGATAATAAAGGCTCGCATTGACGGCTCTTTTGTACACAAACGATCTCGCGTTTAGATGTACGTACCTGTGAACACTATAGGTATGCTAATGGCACATGCCTGCACCGCAATGCCACTGGTGTACCTAATTCATTATTTTAAACACGTGTATGCGCGAGTGCGTAAAATCATCCATTTGAAAAGAAAAGCGCTAATGCTCTTCGCGAGCGCGGTACAAGCGGTCTCCATGTAACTGATGGAGTTAATTACAGTTACGACATTCATTATAGAATATTATACAGAGAAGTGCCAATTAGCTTTTAGGAAAAAAAAAAAAAAGGAATTTATTTAATTCTTGCATATAAATTTTACAGGTCTATAGTGCCATTTTATAATTCGCGTAAAAATTAAAGAACATTACATCGTATTGTAAGAACAGAGTCGCGACATACCATGAGAAAGTTTTTGCCCTTCGAATTGACTTTGTTCAGTAGGTCAGTTACGTTTTTGTTGTGTACGAAGTAAAATGTATTACAATGCGCTCTAGTTGAGCTACTCTTTGGCCGAAATGCCACCGCGATGAGTATCGATGATGTTACTATGTATGAAAAGTAATAACGTGGCAACAAATTGATCGTTAGAGAAAGACAAAATTAATCCACGGATGAACCAAAAGGTGTCAACAACATCACACCTATTCTATATGCTGTATATGAAACTGATGTTTTATTCATGACAATGAAAAATATGCAGCTGTCGCGTCGCGCCGATCAATGTATCCAATCAATCAAGTCACGAAAACGAAAAACGTATCAAAAGCTTCTCGGGAGACAGTAAGAAAAATTTAAAGAGCTCCTTGATCGCGTAGACACATCATCGAATCATCATCATTTTTTTTTTTTTTTTTCCTTACCTTCGCGCGCTTGGCATTTAATCCTTACAATATATCGCGTCACCGATTCCTCAGCTTGTACACGGATGAGTAATGCACCATCGGAATCGGACACCGATCGCGTCCTTAGAGCTGCTGGACGATTAGCCGGCACTCACCGATACAATCGCTCTCCCTCTCTTTGGCGCGAGTGGAAAAGGAACGGCCGATTTATACGAGGGGAGACCGGTTAAGTGGCACGAGGCGATCGGCTCCCAATTTTTCCAATGCGAATTTTCAAGCGGGAAATTCGATTTTCTTTCAACGCTTGTCCCGGTGAGCTTAAAAAGTACCCACAGAGGCGGGGCTGACTGCGAACAAATACTTATTGCACTCGCGAAGGAAAGCGACCCCGATGACTCCCGCTGAGACACTACTGCTCCTCTCTTACTGCGGACGTGCCGCTCCTCAGCCTCTCCCCCCTATAGTCATATACACATGTGTGTAAGATAGGTGATGCTTTTAAACACTGAGTCTATCTATCTCGCTCACTTATGTGCTTTTAGTTAACGCTTATGTACATTGCAAGCGTCTGACATCACGTGTGTATATATGTATATACGTACACTATATGTGCGGAACTTTCAATATACGAAAAAACAAAACAACTGATCATTAAATCGGTATCCCAATGAGCTTCATCACCCCTGGTTAACAATTACGCCGTCTTTTGGCCGATAATGCATTTTCGTACATCATTTATTCATGTGAACATTGCATCGGTTTATATCCACGATCCGGCTTTCACAATTTCGTTTTGACAACTGTTTCACGTAATCCGTGTTTGTTTTCGAAAATACATAAGCATCGGCTCGTTCGAACTTTTCCCAAACACTTATTGCGCTTGATTTTTTTCGTAACGATGTGCCGTTTGTCTTTTGTATCGAGAGCTATATACAATTAAGTGTAAATATACCTCATGAGAGGTGAACACACTATAATATAAAAAAAAAAGCTATATACAATAAATCGTTCGATCCGATCAACCGATTTGAAAAAAACAACTTTACCGATCACGTCCACCAAAATTCGAATTCGCATTTTTTACCCACCACATGTAGCATATGACATCCAAGTTGATTAACTATTATTGTTATTTTTTTTTGCCGATCTATTGAGTTACACGGTTGATTCATCAATTGTACCGATGTATCACTCCACGCGTATCTTGTCGCTCATCGGTTCGTGTTTTTTTTTCTTTTTTTTTTTTCTTTTTTTTTTTTGACCATTAACATCAATAATCACCAGAACAGGATCATTAAGGGGTAGAGGGGGGATTCAGATATTCAAGAAAAAAAAACAAGAAATTTTCAAAGAGAGACGTAACGTAAAGATTGCGTAAACACGTTTTCACTTTCTAAACGCGCACGTGCGCGCTCTTTCTTTCGTTTAGCTAACATTATTGCGTTTGTTGCACATATTTCAAAGAGAGAGAGAGAGACCCAATGAGTGTTGCTCGATCATTATAAAATATTTTGTTTCCGAACGTGCGTGCGAGGAGCATATACCTATTACAAATAAAATTGAAGCACTGTTGGTTTGTCCGATCGTTAAGGAGTGTACCCTGTGTTAGCCGTGCGGTTCATAGTAATGTTTTTCCAATAAACGATGTGATAATGTTGATGTTCACGGGAAACCTTGACGGGCTTCGGGTGTTTTTGTCGATGCCCGTTGCATCGTCGATTATTTAAGCACAGGGCATCGTTGCCGATGCGAAATTTTTTAAAATCTTAACAATGAGAAAATAATCATGCACGTCCTGTGATAAAATGTGTACAATTTCGAGGCCGTAAGTAACACATCTGCAGGTGCGCACGTGCTTGAAATAAAAATTATCGAAAAAAAAAAAAAAAAAAAATACACACACACCGAGTCCCTCCTTACATCAAAAGAGACACATTATATGAATGAACTTTAGGAGCTGGTTGCTTTTCGTTCTCCCATAAGAAGCTACATAAAAAAGTGACTCATTGACTGCGTCGAGTGCAGAGGAGAGCCGCTTCTCCCCCTTTCTCGATATTACATTATTCGCTTCGCGTCTCCTCGCCACAATGTATATACGACGGGCAGGGACCCGCGAGCCTCTTAATTATACCACTGATGGCTCATGTATAAGTGTACACGCGTATGAAAAATGTATTCAGTGGCTCAAGAGAAAGAGCAGACCAGGCTCTTGATGAGGGCAATTTTTATTACTTGTAACGCGCGTATGTATATAGCGTATACTCATACCCCGGGCTGCCCGCACTCTGACCTCTGCTAAGGAAATTGAGCGAGTAACGTCATGGCTGATGTGAAATCATCTTGAATACACCCGTGTCCCTTTTTTTTTTTTTTTTTGTAATTTCTTCTCTTATTGAGCTAAAAATACTCACACGGAGGTATTATATACCTAATGCTACAAGTCGAACGACATACCTTAAAGTACTTATAGATCTGATGTAGTGTAATTTTATCGGTACATTGTTTATCAAAATTAGTTACTGTATTAAACGGGAATAGGTATATGTACACGAGTATAGCCAATAACGGGTAAACAAATTTTCATCACTTTCACGAAAACATGGAAAAATATTTTTAATTATTAATGGCAAATGCTATTACAATTTTACGCAACGAATAATAATTTCAGAACAATTGAATAGAAACCAAATGCAGAAAAAGGCACTCAAAGTTGATCCATTCCTACATACACCACTGAGTTTTAAATAATAAATACAGTGCTGATTGGTAATGCACTCAAAACCTAATGGCGTATATAAAGTAAAACTCCGCGCGAATTGCAAACGAAAAATCGTTTACTCTCGTCATATGATGTACTTACATTTTCTTTTTCTTTTTTTTTTTTACTTTTATTTCATTTTTTAATTCGACAGCTATTTCTCTCAAGTGTAACATGTAGAGCAGAAATGCTCGAAATACACTCTTGCGGACAGATATAACTTGCCCCCTCGTAGTTCGAACTCATGCTGCGCCCATGAGCCTGAAATATATACCCTAAATCACGATCATGTCGCGTATAGAATACGTTCAATGCGTTATTAATAATGCCAGAATGATGTTTTTTTTTTTCTTACTTCTTGTAACGCAGCGGTTGAAGAAAATTTTTTCAAAAACGTATTTTGAAAGGGGCATAAAACTGGAAGAAAAGCGTCTTTTGTCAAAATGTATGTAAAATTATTATTATTATTTTGCCAAATACTTCAGTTTACATTTTAATCTCCAAATAGGTACATAGAAAAAAAAATTTTGTTTTGCACTGCCTTCCTGCCTTGTAAATGGGCACATAGTGCAAAATTTTACAACATTTATACAACGATTGTGCCCAGATGTGCTTATTTCGCTACCTGTGAGGATATGCGAATTAATCATCTTAAAACATGTTATTCCTCAAAGGCTTTTTTCATCCCACACATATATATATCTCCCAGGAACATGGAAAATTTTGGTTAACAAAATTCAAGTAGGCGCATAATTATACATCGGAACGGAACGTGTTGGTAAAAACCTGCACTTTTGCCCAATAAAAAACCCAAAACCACACACCTTTTTTTCATAAAAAAATAATAATAAAAATATTGCCAGTCAAAAAAAGACGTGTAAATTTCTCCCAAGTCGTTGACATCATGGTCATATATACTGGCATATACCTCGAAGGATATATTATATTACCACAACACGGGCGAACGACGACTGCATTAACATTGAATGACGTGCGAGGGAGGGTAAGTACAATAAGAGAACGAGGAGGAGCAGAATGTGATATTCGATAAGTATTTTAAGTACTTACGCATATATTACCAAGTCGATTACTATATATTACCGCGTCAGTTGGATGACCCATCCAATGAGAATTCTGTATATATAATAAACTTACAGTAAATCCATCCATGTTAGACACTAATTCATAATGCGTATTGCCAAACATCAAAAACACGCAGTTGGTGATTTTTAAAAAATATTTTCTACCATTGTCGAATGGGAGTTTTTTCAATCAGTATAAAAAAAAAAAGGAAAAATTTGATCCACAAAAATTGTGATGTCAAATGAGGATTTGTTAGTGCTTACATAATTATTTATGTAACAAGTGCGAAAAGGACGATTTTCCGCACAAGTATATGTATATAGTGATAAGATGCGTTTGTTACGTATACATATTTTAATATGTTTATGCAATATTTATATGTTTATGGCGCTATTCGTAACATATGTATTGTGATGAAATGCAGTTTGCGTATGTTGCACCGTACCACGTTACAATAAGTTTACCTATACCCTTAAAACGTGGAAAGTTCGCGTATTGTTCAACATAAAATTTGTTCGCTTCGTAAGGTGCTGATATACGAGTTTCAAAATAGCACGTTTTTTATGAGATTAATAAACGTGGACGATATAAAAGAAAAAAAAAGTTATTTAGATCAATTTAAAAAATTTAACGAAACGTAGAATTTCACCGTTAACGAGCCCTGCGATTTCCTTCATTTTCTTTTCACGGGACGAGGCAAGTAGTTCAGCGAGTCTTGAGTAATTTCTTCTGTTAACATAGACATATAGGACGCTGGAATTACTCCGGTCTTTTACCAGTAACGCGCGTTTAACGGTTCGCTCGGCACTCGAGCATTTTCCACTTGTCTGACCCTTTTGTACACGTATTAGCTGTATACCTCATTGGCAGTGCAACTGCCGATAAATTGACGTGTCTCAGGAGAAAACAAAAATATACATGTATAGAGTTCCCAAACCCGTTGGGATTATCTTGTATTTTGTTTACGATAAAATTTCAAATTATTGTGTTTGATTATGTAGATACAAAAAAAAAACTGTTGCGTATAAAATAGAGAATAGAAAGAAAATCGCTTCATTTCACCGCCAAATAGTTGCCGTTTTTAAAATAACGTATTTTAAATCAGACGTATTTCGAATCTTCCCAATAAATGAATACCTATCAGTCAAAGTTCAATCTACTGTGGGAAATATAATAATAGAAAAATATTTTCAGAGTGGGTTTAAAAAAAAACAAAAAAAGATATTTTTTAAAATAACTTTATTTATAAGTATTCACTATTCTTCTAAATATGGAAGAATTTTCAAGTTCTCTGTATGTTTCTAAGTATCATATACCTTGCTTACATACTACTAAAGTTACTGTGCAGAAATGGAAGTACAGAATGTATCCACTTGATCTTCTTAAAACATTAAAAGGAAAAGTTTTAAAAGCTATTTATGGCGTTTGTGTTTGCTGCACTTACATCTTAAAATTCAAAATATTGTACAAACTATATTCTTAATAAGTGTATTAGAAATTATTGAAAAAGTACTTATTAAAAAATTACAAAATTAAAAATAGTGGTTTGGTTTTTACTGTCACTTGGTGGCTCTTTCTTTTAAATTATTTTAAAAAAATGTAATTTTAATGAGCAGATAAAATTTTATCATACTCATTTAGTAAAAAAAAAAAAAAAAATTAACAGAATCTATTAGTTTTGGTGAAAATTCATTTAGAAATTTTTTTCTTGGGAAGGTTCTTCCAGGAAGTACTCTTCATATGTTTTCTCTAGATAATCTCGAATGTGATTGGTCCATTGGTTAGCATTATCGATGAAAACTTCAGACATTGCAACAATATTTAGATGGTATGGTTTTAATTGCAAACCTGTTTCAGTTTCCACGTAATTGAAGAATTCATCTGCAGGCTTTGGGTAAAAGTATGGGAAAACAGCAAAAATTGTTATAGCCAAAAGGACAAAAAGCAATGTCCACTTGATTAACGACATGAACACGTAACATAAGAGACTGCAAACTCCTGGAAATAAATGATTCACTTTTAGATTTTGATTTAAAAAATTTATAAAAAAGAATACTTAATGTGAGTTTACCATTTGAATTCTTTTTTTTTACATAATGATCGTTGACTATTTTAACTTTTGGAGGTACTTGCGTATAATTTTTTTCTTGAACATCTTTTTTAGCAGAAGGTGAAGCTTTCTCAGAAACTTTTTTCTCTGCTTTCTTCTTTTTTTTCGATTCTTTTTTACTGCTTGGAGTAGTTTTTTCAGTTTCTGTAAAAGCAAGAGAATTTTTTAATCCAAATTTATGCAAAAATATTCAAGGTGTTTGACGAGAGTTGCAAACCTTGGACAGCTGTAAGACGACGTTGCTTCTCCTCTTCTACTGTCACTTTTACATTAGCCAGATAAGAAACAATGTTCTTAGCACAAGCTTGACACTCGCTAGAATTACTACATGGACCGGCAATATTAGCAAAAGCTGGTATCAGTGGATTTTCTTTCAAGTCAAGCCATTTCAAGCTCCTCAATTCACCAAGACTCATTGGTAACCTGGTTATTTTATTACCATACAGATCTAAATGACGCAACATTTTCAACTCTCCAAAATTCTCAGGAATTTCAGTTAACATATTTTTGCTCAAATCCAGTTTGACTATTTGAGTCAGGGTTGCAAAATTTTTCTATTAAAAAAGAAAAATAATTAGTTTAAATATTTTCAAGATTCAACGAAACAGTGAATGTTGCTTGGAAGACTTACAGGTAGTGTAACAAGTACATTGTTTGATAAGTCCAACTCAGTGAACCTCTTAACTTGTGCCTGCAAACCATGACAAAAATTTTTTTTCAAGTTATCCAAGAAATACATCTAGAATGAAAAACCGTGAATTCACTTACAATTTCCTTTACAGGCACCTCATCCAGGTCACACAGACTGAGGTCCAGGACATCTTCATCTAGTTTATCCTTAATGTCCTTTACAGTCCACTTCTTAGTCATGATGACTGCTATGTAAAAAATTAATTAATCGAAAATTAAACTATTTTACTAGTAAACTTTGAAAAATATAATGTTATAGTTAAAATAAAAATGAACGAACCTTAATTTAATCTGCTGTTAGGAATTAAAGAAGTGTGAATTTAGTATGTATACTGCACGTTCTGACTTCTGACACGTTTAAGAGTCCGTGCAAGAGGATAAATTTTTTTTTTAAACTGATATTCCTTACAATAAACTCCTTAATAAGTATGTACACGAGTAAGGAGACTAACGAGGCAGAGTTTAATCGAAGTTCGACGATATGATCTGGAATATCTGGATATGATGCTGATGCCGATAAAACGGTTGGTGGTTTTTCTTGATTCGTAACAATGTATGTATAGTGTATGTATACTTACACAGGCAAAAGTATATACCGATACTATTACATACTTACTGCTCTTTTACACAGCAGAAGTAAAGATGCTCTCTCGAGCCGAACAGACGCTACGACCTCTATAGCTGTACAACCTCGGTTCTCGGTACAATCAATTGAAAATTACCACATTATGTGATTATTAATTTTGCTATAACTACAAGGTAATTATTTTCTTTTTTCTATTTTCTTATTCTACTTTATGGGCTCTTATTTGGAGGTTATAAAATTTTGTAATTTATTTTGACTGTTTTTTTTTGCAAAGATTATATTGAGTGCGTTCGAAAGTTATCGTTCGTTACTCGGATTGTTTGTTCCAAAAATGCACAGAAAATATTTAACAGGTTGTGGAAACAACAGTGTACTCGTTCCATAATCATAGTATATGCCCTAACACTTCAAAGCAATGACGATGTTTAAAAAAACTAAAGGTTGTTCGCGTTAGCACCTTCACTGCCTTCACACACATAAGCTAGTAGATGACGCTGTAACCGTTTTATGTTCGTTTTCAAGTTTAAATACGTCATTGTTCACTTTGTATATTTATAATATCTTTCTCTTATCTCTGAATGTCAGAAAGAGAGAGAAAGAGAAAAGAAAACCTGGAAAACTGAAAACAAAGAAAAAAAAACAAGAAACCCGAATGGTTCATGCCAGATGCACGATACAGTCGCAGATACACCTACATAGATATAGGTATATGATTGTAACACATTCTACTGCTGTTCCCTCAAGCAATCTTTTAGCATCGCCATTGGAGTTGTTTTCAGAAAGGAAAGGAGAGGAACCCGAGGAACGGCACAGCCGCACTCACGTCAGCCATATTGTCGCAGTTTTGTAATGAGCACACGCTACACGTATAGTATATATTGCGGGTACAAGGTATCTACGGAGCGCGCGTCTTGTCCACGTTACCTATTCCAGATTACGATACGGACAGGCTTTCCAGAAGTGCAGAACAACGGATAAATTCCGTTCCCTATAGTTGGATCTCTGTTGGTACCGGAATATGTCGTGTTCGTGACTTGAACGACGCGCCAACACCGAATAAGAGTGTTTCATATAGATTTCGTAATCCCGAACCCATCGTACGGCTCGTCAGCGAAACTTGAATTAAAAGTGCCGATTTGAGTTTGTTTTGATTAAAAAACGCGGAGAGAGGAATACTTGAATTCAAATGGGTCCGAGTGCCAATAACGAAGACTTGGAGAAAGATGATGCTCCTACATTGTCCATAACAGAGGTAATCGCTGATGACGGTGAAGCCTGCAACAATGTCAGAAGTGAGGACTACGGCAGCCAGTTCGCAGGAGTCGTACGCGAACTTTTTCTCGATGAGTCCATGCTCGACATCACCCTCTGCGCTTCTGGCCACAAGATTCGCGCCCATCGCATGGTTCTCAGTGCTTGCAGTCAACTCTTTCAAGTAAGTGTTTTGATCCCATTCGTTTGTTATTTTGATACCAACGTCACAATGATTCTGACACTCAACTGCTGTTTTAGGAGCTTCTGTCTGACAGTAACGAGGATCAGACAATTTTTATCCCTGACGTAAATCTGGATCATCTACAGGCTATTGTCTCATTTTGTTACAATGGAGAAATTAGGGTACCTTCTACAGAAATCACTGAACTGTTAACTTTGGCTCAGCAATTAAAGATCGAAGGTCTACGAGAAGTAAGTTTGATTAAATGTCATTAAATTTGAAAATTTTCTTGAATCGACATTTGAAAACTTATATTCACACGTACTTACAGGTTGCTGGCTTAGTAGAGTCGGACGCATCGAATGATCAAGCTGAAGATGATGAACCATATTTTCAGGAATCTACTTTTGTATATGATGAAGATTCAGATGGTATTGAAGAAGTTACACTTGTCAGTAATACAACTGCAAATAATAGTAAAATAACAAGTACTTATAGTACTCCAAATTCAAACAAGACTTTCAAAAGAAAGAGAAGTTCTAGCAAAAAAGAATATTCTGATAACCAATTAGCTGCTGCCATTAAGGATATATGTGCTGGTAAATCATTGTTAGAAGCAGCTGAAAAACATAGCATCCCCAAGTCTACATTGTACATGCGTGCAAAAGCTTTAGGTGTAAAGATAAATACCACCAAGGTTATCTACACAGCTGAAGATATGAAGGAGGCAGTTAAATCAGTGTCAGGTGAGGCTTTATGTTTAATCACTTATGAAAAAAAAATTAACTTTTTATACACATTGCATACATTTTTTTTTTTTTTTAGAGGGATGTAGTCTTCAACAAGCTGCTGTTGTTCATGGAATACCAAAAACTGTTCTGTGGAGGAGAGTTCAGAAAGAAGGTGTTCCCATAACTAGTCGCGATAAAAGAAAAAGTTATGGTAGTGAAAGGCGAGAAGCTGCGGTAAAAGCTTTAGAAAGAGGTGAAACTCTATCTAAAGTTTCCATGGAATATAAAGTAAGTTACTTATAATGTGTCAATGAACAAGCTTAAACCAATCATAGAGATTAATTTTATTTTCTATGTATAGATTCCAAAGACAACCCTTTTTAGAGACAAAACTCGTTTAATTAATCAAGGAAAATTGCCTAAATCATTTTGGAAAAGGCGAAAATCTCTAGAAGATGAGCAAAAACAAAACCGTTTGGAAAAAGCTGTATTGGCTTGTAAAACCGGAAGAATGTCGCAGGCTGCAGCTTCTTTAACTTATCAAATACCAAAGACAACTATATGGCGGCATCTACATAAAGAACTTAAAGAATGTTCTTCTCCGACACCTGTAAAACCTAATAAAATAGAAAATACGATTTCTATTCGAAAAAGTCAAGCTGTCGTTAAATCAGAAGAATCAAATGAAGATGAATTTGAACCATATTGTCCTGTAAGAAAATAAAATAAAACCCTTACTATTTACAGATATATTATATTCAATAATTTAATTCATGCAATGTTTTTTATTAGGAGGAGACAGAAATGAATATAACATACATTAATGAAGAAAATATGGAAGAGCCAGTTATGATTCTTACTAGTGCTGATGGGGACGAGTTAAATCTATCATCAGAAAAACAAAACTACATAGTTGTACAGGATGTAAGTTGCTGAATATTCTCATTTCATTATAAAATAAATACATATACACTTGCATTTTACAGGGTACATCTGGTGATAATTTTATACCCTCTGAAATCGGAAATTTTGAAAATCCATCCTTTACGAAAAGTTAAAATGTTTGTATAAGTAAAATGTGCTCTATTTAGTGTTAGCTTGTAAATATAGCCTTGAGATTCTTTATGTTTGAATTATTTAAATATAAATTTGCATTTTTTAGCTTTAAATTGTCTATTTTTAATATATGAAAAAAAAAAAAAAAAAAAAAAAAACTACAAAGTCATATTTTGTAACAATGTTGAAATTTTATCGAAAAAATAAATCTTAAGACTTCTAAAACATATTTTTGTCCTTTTATTTTCTTTCATTTCCTCTAGTAACATTTTTTTCATCAACCAATACGTTTATAATTCGCAGTTTGTAAAGTTTGCATTAAGCGTCTAAGTACCAGATTCCCATCGGAATTCGAAAACCAAATACCTAAGTACTTTATAAATCGTTTGAAAAGTGAAACGCGCGTTTGGCGGCATCACACATGGCGACAGTCAACAACAACACACCACGGCAACGTGCGAGACTCGTTTGATCAAACAAGTTTCTTAGTGAAGGTTTTTCTGTAAAAAAAAATCATCATCATGAAGATCGAGGAAGTTAAAAGCACTGCTAAAACCCAAAGAATTTCCGCACATACACACGTTAAAGGCCTCGGCCTGGACGAAAATGGACAGGCATTACCGTTTGCAGCCGGTCTCATTGGTCAAGAAATGGCTAGAGAGGTTAGTTTTATGTTGTGTTTGAATGTTCAAATTTTGCTCCCCTAATTTCGTTGTTTATGTTTCAAGTAAACTTGTGCACATTTTTTTACCTGTTCGTCATGATATGACATTAAAAATCATATTTATAATGAAATACTATCATGGGCATATAAATAACTCACAAACTAAATGCTGGGTATTAATTTTACTTGGTATTTTATAGGCTGCAGGATACATCGTTGACATGATCCGAAGTAAAAAAATGGCAGGCCGTGCAATTTTGTTTGCTGGCCCACCTGGCACAGGAAAAACTGCTATTGCTTTAGCCATTGCCCAGGAGTTGGGCAACAAAGTGCCTTTCTGTCCAATGGTAGGCTCTGAAGTTTACAGTACTGAAATTAAGAAAACAGAAGTCCTTATGGAGAACTTTAGAAGGGCTATTGGTTTGAGAATCAAAGAGTCCAAAGAGGTGTATGAAGGTGAAGTTACAGAGTTGTCACCAGTAGAAACAGAAAATCCAATGGGTGGCTATGGCAAAACAGTATCGCACGTTGTTATTGGATTGAAAACAGCTAAGGGAACGAAACAGCTCAAGTTGGATCCTTTAATTTATGAGTCTTTACAAAAAGAAAAAGTTGAAGTGGGAGATGTTATTTACATTGAGGCAAATAGCGGTGCTGTCAAGAGGCAAGGTAGAAGTGACAACTATGCAACTGAATTTGATTTAGAAGCCGAAGAGTATGTGCCTCTGCCCAAAGGAGATGTACACAAAAAGAAAGAAGTCGTTCAGGATGTGACCTTACACGATCTTGATGTTGCCAATGCAAGACCTCAAGGAGGTCAAGATATCATGTCCATGATGGGCCAGCTAATGAAACCTAAGAAAACCGAAATAACAGGTAATACATGTATCATTTTTATTGTTACAGTGTAGTAAAATTTTTTGAAAACAGTTGTCTCATTTATACATTATTTTCAGACAAATTAAGAAAAGAAATTAACAAGGTAGTAAACAAATACATTGACCAAGGAATCGCCGAGCTGGTTCCAGGAGTTTTATTTATTGACGAAGTACACATGCTTGACATTGAAACATTCACTTACCTTCACCGAGCTTTGGAAACGGCTATTGCACCCATTGTCATTTTCGCGACGAATCGCGGCAAGTGCGGTATCCGTGGAATGGAAGATATCCAATCGTCACATGGTTTGCCTTTAGATTTGTTGGACAGAGTTCTTATTATCAAAACTTTACCCTATTCAAGAACTCAAATCGAGCAAATCATCAAATTGAGAGCAGTTACGGAAAGTCTGCAAATTGAGGACGAGGCTCTCACAGCTCTCAGCGAACTTGGCGAAAAAACGACTTTGAGATATGCTATTCAGTTGTTGACACCTGCTTCCATTACAGCTAAAATCAATGGAAGAACCAGTATCAGCAAAGAAGACATTGACGAGGTGAAATTTTTGTTCCTCGATGCCAAGTCATCTGCTGAAATTCTCTCTCAACAGAAGGATAAATTTTTGAAATAGTTAAGCTAGGATTTTTAGTTAATCTATGTTTTAATTACCTTACCTACTTAAGTTTAAAATATTTTGTAATAAAATCCGCTTCAAATAATTAGTTGCCCGAATCATTGTAACGAAACAATTCACCCTTGCTCTTTCGTCGCAACTTTTAATTATCCTATTAATGACAGAATCAGTGTAGCAGCTATAAACTATGTCACGTATTTTCTTGAGAATCTTTGTCTTGTTTGCCAATGGTCAATGTAAATTGAAATAAACTCGCCTTTGCTCCAACAAGTTATTGATTAAACTTGCAACAAATGACGTAAACATGGATATATGTTTCCTGTGCCACGTACTCAGCTGAAAAAAATAAGGAAAACAGTTATTGCCAAAATTTGATCTACAGGTAAAATAAAAGCTGTACAAGCTGCAAAACTTTCGAGAGCCCCCTTCAAAAATAGCCGCTGGAAAATCGAGCGGTAAAGCTTTACGCGCGAATTCGTATACGAATCGGCTATAGAATTGTGACAACGATACAGCTGATGGTAAGCACGTGGAGCTGAGCTGCTCAAATACATATATGCATGTGTACATACATATATAATGTAAACTTATAAAACACACCGCGGAAATGCACCGTTGAGTCAGTAGTGCGTCTACCGCGGTGAACGTGTACGCGCCTGAGGCCCCGATCGATCGCCTCTTTGCCTTTTGTAATTCGATTTCGCGTAACGCAATTCTTTTTTTCTCCAGTAAGATTTGTTGATAAAAAAAAAAAAAAAAAAAAACCATAATTCACCCACAAGTCTGGGAGTAACCGTACAGTTTGTCGTACTTGTTATATATTTATTTATTTTTTGTTACTCGAGACACCTGTATCCGTCCGTATACTCTCTACCCGCGATTTTACTATAAGTTTTGTAACGTCGCGCATACGCAGGTGTAGCCGCTCTAAATGTTCGAAGGTGCAAACAAAGATCTGTGAAATATCGTCGTACAGACAGAAGAAGAGAAGTAAGGAAAATTGTACCCAATGCTGTCGACACTGAGGGTCTCACGCTGCTCGCGGCTGCTACAGCAGCAGCTGCGCAAAATCACGCCAGCGCGCCGGAACGCGCGTGGATTCGGTACCGCGTTTGCGAGGCCGACCAACTTTGACCAGATTTTCCCGGCCCGGGAGAAGTTCCAGGACAGGCACATCGGCCCTCGGCAGCAGGAACAAGCAGAGATGCTCGATTATCTCGGTCTCGAGGTTCGACACTTGCTCTTTTATTTATCTTGCTCCATCTTGACGTTCGATTTTTATATCAATTATACATGGCAAAAACGCGCTTATCCGGAGCACGCGTTTCAAAACGTATTATATGCCAGCTAGCCAAGCGCTGTGTAAAACATAATATCTCACCGAGTTTCTTGATTACAAAATTTTATAATTAAAAAAAAAAAAAATACATATAATGACACTTTACGTACTTTGATAAAAAAACTTCGACTAATGATCTTCTGATGAAAAAAAAAAAAAAAAAAGAAGAAAAATACATATATGAATCGAAATGAAAATTGCCTTTCAGTCATTAGATGAATTAACTGCCAAAGCTGTGCCGAAAAACATACAGTTCAAGAAAGATTTGGACATCGAAGAGCCCATGAGTGAGTATCACACGAATTATTCTCGATAGATTCCATTAGGGTGTAGATAACGACAAAATAATGAGTATTGTTAAATTACAATCCTTGACTCTATAAGGGTGCAAATGAGGGTGAAAACAAAATAAGACAGATAACGGCAGTATTTGATATATAATTCTATCTCGGAGGGATTTTATAAAAAAATGCTGGCCAAAGGATAAATTAAATTTATCGATGCGATTAGTTTCTATGAATGGCACTTGCGCGTAATATACAGAGTTCTTGGTCCGTATACTTTCCGACAGCGCAGATAAACCAAAAGTGCACGCGTATGCAAAAATCTACGTCACTTGTATCAAAGGTCATCGGATGCTTCGAAATCGCATCTTCGCTCACGCGACGCCAATAACGCTGCTGGTGCCTCGACGTGTATATTTTGCAAACGCGCGTCGCCGTTTCACGAGAATTCAAAATAAGCATACCCAGAGATAAAACGAGGAGAGAAAAAAAAAAAAAAATATTCACCCTACTTTTCCGCCGATTCGCGATCAATGCCACCGTTACAAGATCCCCCGCAGAGCGCTCGTCTTGCTTAATTTCTCAATTTGCGCAAAGTATCGTTATCATCGTCGAAAAAGTTTCGCGCGCACGTGCAACTATGCGCACACGGTGCCAACCAACATGTGAAAATGTTGTTTCCAGCCGAGTTCGAGCTGATAAAAAAAATCAACGACATTGCCAATAAGAATCAAGTGTGGCGCAGCTACATCGGTATGGGGTATTACAACTGCTGCACCCCCCACACGATCATGAGAAACATCTTTGAGAATCCAGGATGGTAATTATGAGCAAAAGTGCAAAAAAAACAAACAAAAAAACAAACGCACGTGTGTATAATATACGAAATGAACGTGTCCAGGACGACGCAGTACACGCCCTACCAGCCGGAGATATCCCAAGGCCGGCTGGAGAGTTTGCTCAACTACCAGACGATGATATGCGACCTGAGCGGCCTGGAGGTGGCGAACGCCTCGTTGCTCGACGAAGGCACCGCGGCCGCCGAAGCCCTGGGTCTCGCCCATCGATTCAACAAGCGCCGACGGATCTTCGTCTCGGACGGGGTCCACCCGCAGACCATCAGCGTCATAGCCACGCGAGCCGCCTCCCTTGGACTCGAGCTCCAGGTGGGTGACGTTTTCACGGACCTCGACACCAGCGCCAGAGACATCACTGGCGTACTCGTGCAGTACCCGGACACCAGCGGCGTCCTCAGGGACTTTACCGACCTCGTCAAAAGGGCCCATGCCGATGGCGTAAGTGTGTATATATAATAAGCTCATTGTCACCATGTCACTCGGAATACATGATGATGATTAAACACAATGGTGAACATTGATTGTAAAGACGCTGGTCTGCGCGGCTGCGGATCTGCTGTCGTTGGCGCTCGTCAAGCCACCAGGGGAGTTCGGCGTGGACATATGCGTGGGTACGAGCCAGCGATTCGGCGTGCCCCTGGGCTATGGGGGTCCGCACGCGGGTTTCTTTGCCTGCCGGCAGAAGCTCGTGCGCCTGATGCCGGGACGCATGATCGGGGTCACTCGGGACTCGGACGAGCGCGAGGCCTACCGGCTGGCCCTGCAGACGCGCGAGCAGCATATCCGCCGCGACAAGGCGACCAGCAACATATGCACCGCCCAGGCCCTCCTGGCCAACATGTCGGCCATGTACGCCGTTTACCACGGGCCCGAGGGCTTGCGCCGAATAGCGGCTCGCGTGCACATGCTGACCGTCGTCCTGGCCGAGGGACTGCGGAGGGATGGGCACGACCTTGTGGGCGAGGGCTGGTACTTTGACACTGTGACGATAAAGCCAAGAGTGCCTTTGGAAAACATCAGGAGAAGCGCCGAGTCGGAGAGGATGAACCTCAGGTACAACAGGGACGGGACCGTGGGCGTGTCTCTGGACGAGAAGACGACTCCCGATGACGTGGACGACATCCTCCGAGTATTTGGGACCAGCGCCACGGTCGAGGGGATCGTCGGAAGCGGCCTCGTCGAGGGCAGGGACCTTGACCACTCGCCCTTCCGTCGCACGACTCCGTACTTGCAGCATCCCGTTTTCAACGCCCATCACTCGGAAACACGGATCGTTCGGTACATGAAGTCTTTGGAGAACAAGGACATCTCGCTCGTGCACAGTATGATTCCCCTGGTGAGTAAAAAAAAAAAAAAAATAAGGGTGAGAGCAGCTAATAATAAAATTCGTGCGAATCATCGGTTAGGGCTCGTGCACGATGAAACTGAATTCGACGACCGAGATGATGCCGTGCAGCTTCAAAGGGTTCACGGATGTGCACCCGTTCGTGCCGCCGGAGCAGTCGCGCGGGTACCATCAGCTGTTCGTCGAGCTCGAGCGGGATCTGTGCGCGATAACGGGATACGACAGCATAAGCTTCCAGCCGAACAGCGGAGCCCAGGGCGAGTACGCTGGCCTCAGGGCGATCCAGTGCTACCACGAGTCCCGTGGCCAAGGCGAACGCCAGGTCTGTCTGATTCCCGTTTCGGCTCACGGGACCAATCCGGCCTCTGCTCAGATGGCCGGCATGAAAATCGAGCCGATCAATGTCAAGAAGAACGGCTGTGTCGATGTCGAACATCTCAAGGCCATGGCTGATAAATTCAAGGTTGGAGAGATCTCTGTTATCATCGTCTCGCTTATCCATGCTCTTTCGGCACTTAATCAATGTAAATGAAGCTTTCAAACACGTGCTCGATGATTTTTAGGACAAGCTGTCGTGCCTGATGATCACGTATCCGTCAACAAACGGTTTATTCGAGGAGACGATTGGCGACGTCTGTGAGCTGGTGCACAAGGCGGGCGGCCAAGTTTACCTCGACGGGGCGAACATGAACGCACAGGTAGGCTTGTGCAGGCCCGGTGACTACGGCAGCGACGTGTCGCACTTGAACCTGCACAAAACTTTCTGCATACCGCATGGCGGTGGTGGTCCAGGAATGGGTCCGATAGGCGTCAAGAAGCACCTCGCGCCTTTTTTGCCAAGCCATCCCGTCATCGATACGTTGACCGGTGATGTTAGGGTGTGTGGTTTTTTTTTCGTTCCCTCGTCATCAGTGGTTACTTTTTAATGTTAATGTTATAATTTTTTTTTCGTTCCAACCAGGAAACGAAGGGCTTGGGTGCAGTCTCTGCTGCGCCGTACGGATCGTCGGCGATTTTACCGATTTCCTGGGCTTACATAAAAATGATGGGGCCACAGGGACTGCGCAAAGCGACGCAAGTTGCCATCCTTAATGCCAACTACATGAGCAAAAGGCTAGAAAAATACTACAAAATTTTGTTCAGAGGGAGTAGCGGCCTCGTGGCTCATGAATTTATTTTGGACGTGCGAGATTTGAAAAAAACCGCCAATATCGAGGTAGTGGACATCGCCAAGAGACTCATGGACTACGGTTTTCACGCGCCTACCATGAGCTGGCCCGTTGCTGGCACGCTTATGGTCGAGCCCACGGAATCTGAGGATAAGCTCGAGCTCGATCGATTCTGTGACGCGCTTATTTGTGGGTTTTTTTGTTTGTTTTTTTAATATTCAAAAAGTTATTCAAAATCAATTTTTTTTGCAAATTCTTTTATTTTTCATTACAGCTATAAGGCAAGAGATTCAGGATATCGAAGATGGAAAACTAGATGCCAGAATTAATCCTCTTAGAATGGCGCCGCACACGCAAGAACAGATTATTAGTGATAAATGGGATCGACCATATTCAAGAGAATTGGCTGCTTTCCCAGCAGTAAGTAACTCTAGTAAAATAATTTACCTTTTAAAGGTACTAAATCTTTTATTTAATTTAAAAAACTATTTTTTTATTAGCCATTCGTAAAAGCAAGTACAAAGATGTGGCCTACCGTGGGAAGAATAGATGATATTTATGGAGATGTAAATCTTTTCTGTACCTGCCCACCAATTTTGCCTCAACAGTAGAAAAAAATAAAATGTATATAGTGAATAATCGATTGGATCAATTTGAGTTTTACATAATTAAATTACATCTAAAACGTATTAATTATCGGATACGCTTGTAAATATTATAATTAGAATCAATACTTAGGATGACACTTGTTTATCTTATAGTAACAAAAAATGGATCACAAACACAATATAAAAAAATAATGAAGATGTTTTTATAAAAAAAATTCGTGAAATTAAAAGGGTATAAAAATCCTAGCTTTACGGTAGATATTTAATTTACAATCCTGGCATTATGTATGACACATTTTCAAGAGTAGAAGTCAAGACTTTTGGACTAGCTCCGTTCATTTCAGGTATCTGTTGAGTAAGACAGAGCAAGGGCCCTAAAGCGCAAAGTAAGGAATCTAAAAGTAACGGCAAACTTCCTGAAACTGTTATTTGGCCCTCGTGCTCTTTAAGTTTCTGGCCTATAATTGTCAAACTTTCGCCAAGCAAAGTCAAATGAGCGGCAACGTCTATTGGCTGAGTTCCGATTTTATATACTGCTGTTTCAAAATGAGGATCATTATGCCCATTACTCCCTACCTTGTTCAATGGAGGTGATATAGGTAACTTGTTCCCTATTCTTGGAGTTCCTAGTTGTATAACCTTAGGCGCAGGTGGAGGCGCAGGCACCCCGTTTCTGTTTCCTGAAAAATTACATTTTTTTATGCATTTATTACATTGCTATGCCAGACTTGCCGAAAAAACATTTTAATTTACCAATTTTATTGATAAATTGACGGGCTGGCGGCACTGCGACTTTATTGAATTTTTCAGCTGATTGTGGATTAATTGCACAACGTTGTGCTCGCTTTCTCCAATTACACTTTTCTAAATTCGGCACCGTTGCCCATAATTCCCCTAATTTCTTTGAAACAGTTGCAAAATCTAATAGAAACGTAATACTTGTATACAAACTGAATTTATAATTATATTATTTATAAAAGACTTTTACTGACCCATATTAGGATTATGCTCTAATATTTGTTGTCTGGCCTCTCGAGCCCACAGCATGTAAGCAGTGTATCTAGTTTTCTGAAATAATCAAGTAGGATTTTTTTCAAAACAGACAGGAAAACTCAATAAAATATAACTGAAATATACACACCCCTTTGTCTTTCCGCTGTGTCTTAGATGGTTTATTATTATTTATAACCTTTCCATCCTTTATTATTATTTTTTTCTTGTATTTTTCCAACATATATAAACTACTTTTTGCCTGAGAAGGTAAATCTGTTTGTTGTTCAGGAGGCTCAAGTTTCGTAAAACCAATAAATTCTGGCTCAGAATTTAGGTTCTCTTCTTCTTCTTCTTCGTCTTCTTCTTCTTCTTCTTCTTCTTCTTCTTCCTCCTCACCTACCATCATTGTATTTGTAGCATCATCTGACATTGATTCTACGCTATCATCTAGCCCATTGGCACCTTCAGACTCTGAATCTTCAGAAGAATCATCATCTTCTTCCAAACTAGACTCTTGTTTGATTTGTTGCTTGACTGGCTCTTTAAAATGTACAGAAGGTTGTTGATAACTCTTCTTTTGTTGGACCATTTTTGTTTGCTGTACATGATTATTTGGTCGCCCTGAACTGACAGTTTGTAAATTTCGTTGCTGACACTGTTGTTGTTGTTGTAACTGTTGCTCATATCTTTCAAGTCTTTGTTGAGCTTGAAGTAATTGTGCTTGATGCTGAGCTTTTTGTTTTTTTAATTTATGATCCGTCACGTCGTCAGGTGATTCAAAATCAACCAATTTTGAAGACTTTTTCCGGACTCTCCCACTCCTTGAAATTCCAGTGACTTCTAGATCTATCAATAAAAAATCTGAATCTTGTCAAGACATCAAAAGACTAAAGACTATTACAAAAACACACTAGCCACCTGACTATTAATGCAAACGTATATAATTTTTTGAATAAAATTTAAACGCTGGAAAGTACCACATTTTAATAAAAAAATTATTTACTACTACATTGAGTGTAATGCAAAATTTTAAATTTACTTTAATATTATAAAAATTTTATTTAGAGTAACTTAGTCACGTATGCTTTAATTGTTACTTAAAACATGGCAAATATATTTTAAATAGTTGTTGACTCGTGTGTAAGTATTATGGAATATTTGAAAATCAGCAACGAAACAAAATAATCAAAACAACAGTAGAACGAGAGAGAAGAGAGTGAGAAAGCAACAAAAACATAACCTAATCCAAAGCGAAGATCGTTAAAAGGCGAGTGAAAAAAAAATCCTCACCGTCATTCTTCTGACTTTTCGGAGTCGAGAAGTAATCCATCATGAGATCGCTCCCTCACACTAGCATTAGCTTATTTTCTCTCGACGAAAAAAATAATACTGTCCCGGCGACGAAAACTAACTTTGTGGATACTATAGGTGCTCTTGCACCTGCTCTTCTGAAATGTAAGAATTTATGTAACTTATTCCATTAGCCTCCTTTACATTTTCATTACTTGTTTCGCAATTTTCGACTTTTATTTTTCGCTAACTATATACTCATACTTTCTTTAATGACAACTCAAAACAAAGCAGAATCTTCTGTTTTGCGTTATGTGTTGAAATGAGATTCACGTGGTTGTAAGTAAAGCACCTAAGCAAAACTACAGTGACAGTTGTTTGCAATGGGCACTTGCTTGCAAAATTTAAAATGCAGCTCATGAAGCACCCATAAGCAACATTCGATCCAACACTGATATTTTTAAGAGATTTAGCAACAATTTGTTTATGTAGTGGTAAATTAAATTTGTAATTTTTAATTTAGTTTCGCGCCATCAGTGGCGCTGTTTTCGGTTCATATATAATTTACAATGGGCGCCATCTCGCGTGGCTGATTTTGAACTAAGAAGTACCCGTAACGTTTCTGAGGAAAATCACTAGAAAAAATAACTAGCCTAGTGATTTTTTTGGAAATTTTAAGGGTTATACTTTTTAACTCATTGATTAAACTCAAAACCAGCCACGCGAGATGGCGCTGGTTGTAATTACACTATACGCGGCGTGCGCAAATCAACTGAGCTATTTCGTTTTTGAAATTCTTCAAAACGTTGCAATGTATTATTTTGTTACATGAAAAAATAAGAAAATGTATGTCATAAACGTACCTAAATCACAATAATCAATAAACCGTGTATTTCAAAGATCATGGGATTGTCGATTAACATTAGAAAATTGAGACATTACCTTTTAGATTATCAAACATTTTTATTATAAAAACAATATACATATATTTACAGAAAGATTATTCCACGTCATCTTCTTGTAACCAGCCATCGTCGTCGGACAAAAATTTTCTCTTGTGACTGGTATTCATGTAAGGCCTCAATGCCCACTCCACATCTGCTGCAGCTTCGTTGTCTAGCGTACCAAGTTTGATCGCATACAGATGAAGCTGAAACCTTGGGCCAACTTCTGTCAGTTCTATGTCTCTGCCGTTGACTTTCTTGTAAGTATGATGCCGAAAGCAGATGTAATCATTGTGATTGGCAAACGTGATGACTCTCTTGCTGTCCTCTTTGGGTACAGGAAACAGGTACTTAAGAATGTTCATAGTCCTCTGGCCGAGCTTGGTTTTGAAATTGTGAAAGACAAGGTGGGGATACTGTTCGGACATGGTGCCAATATCCGGGATGTCGTGCCTCATAATGACATCTGACATGGTAAAATGTGCTGTGGGTCCGTATGGCAGGTGGCAAACGGTGAGGGAAGTGGGATTGCCTCTCTTCTCGTGAACCATGATAAAGTCAGTAACGTTGTTGGCCCTGCACGCGTTGATCAACTGTTTGATCTCGTAGTTACCGCGGTTCATCCTCTGCGAGTTCGGGAATATCAGACGCAGCTCCTTGGCGAAGACTTTGAGCTTGGCACTGGGGTCACGGGAAGTTGTGATCACGATCTTAGGGTCCTCGACGCCGGCCCATCTGTACTCGTCGTCCTCGTTGTTCCCGACAACTCCACCCATCTCCGTGCCCTGGGCAATCGCGAGTTCCGGCCCAGCATCTTCCCATTCGATTTTTTTCTGCAGAAGGAGAGCTTCCTTCCTTAAATCCGTCTGGATGGGAACGTTCTCCTCGAGGCACCTCTTGATTTTATCCTTTTTTTCCTGGATTAGTTTTAGCTTATCTTGGATGGACTTTCGATAGAGGTACTCCCTCCGGAGCCGGGCTTGCCTGCGTAACATTGTCAACTAATTTTCCCTGCGAGTATTTTAAACAAAGCGCGTTTAACCACTACACTCTATCTTTTTGATGGTTATGTTTGTTTGTTGACACACGTGTGGGCGGTTATTCGTAATACTACCCAATATAAATAGTCCCGTCGTCTGTCACTTGTATATATACAATGTAGGTATCTATAGTTTGTTGCAATCGGTAATCAGTACGGTCATGCACTACCTTAGCTATTTATTTTGAATTTTTATCAGTTATCGGTAAAATCGTGCACTACTCTTACAGAAGTCGACAAGTAGCAACTTTTTGCAATGTGTGTTGGTTTTCGTGTGGAATATGATAGATGGAGTATCATGATTGATGATTAGGTGATTATTTATTTTCAAGTAAGTTCAACCACCATTAATTATTATTTCAATCATACATTTATATCGCTATAGACCGTTGAAACTATCGTCAAATAACCTTGTACGTATACAAAAGAAAAACTATACAGTTTTTTTTCATATTACAGTGTACTGACCCCATATATACGGAGTACTTAATAAGTACGCAACATTGGAGAAAAAAACAAAGGGAAGAGTAAGTAATAAAATTAGTCGCGCCTTCCGAAACATAACGCAATTATCAACACGCGAGCACGGGACGAGCGATATTTTTTTTTATCTTCTCGCGATATACCGCGATTTGTAAAGTGCAACAAGAGAAAACGGAATCACCGCATTCCCATGTGTACGTGTAGTGCCGTTGTATATCTGCCGGGGCAATAAATAACTCAAGCGACAAACAAGAATCCAATGTTATACGTTGCAAGAACAATAGCGCAATCCCAATCAACAACCACAGACACACACACACACACACACACACACACACACACACATACACACACACACACACACACACAGAGTAGGGAACACTCGATCGGGACGAAAGGATTTCGCAACGGCTAAAATAATTGATCGCCCCCTCGTGCGAGGGCCGGGGGGAGGGAAAAATTAGAGCGTCAAGTTTTAGAGGGGCGAGAGGGAAAATAATAGGGAGAAAATCTTCGAAACCACGCAGCGGGTAATTGGCAGAGAGAGAGAGAGAGAGATCCATGTGTGATATATACTTTATATAACAAGGGACCCCCATAAACGAGGTTATCCAATCTATTATAATCCGTGGGTGCATGTAACAGTATATATAATAAATATGTATATATAAGTAAACTCCCTACTAT